AAGAAGAAGAAGAAGAAGAGAAAGAAGAAAACACAAATAGTCTTGTTTTCAGTGGGAATTATATGTTTTCTGCTTGTGGTCAAAATTGCAACAAATTTTGCAATTGTTGAGAAAATTGCACGACCAGAAAAACTACACAAAAGTAGCAGTAGAATTGTGTGTCCAATGACTGTTCTTAATAGATTCGTACTAGTCTCAGACACCTATTGATTGGATATTATGAGAGGGCTCTGCCTTCTATCCATATCTCTACTAGGCATGTTCATCCGTTTTATAGATATGACAATTTAATTACGAGAACTATTTTCTTCACAGTACGAACAGCCCGGCTTTACAAGTGAAGACACTCTCAATAATAAAAAATAATGTAATCAGTACTGCGACGATTGGTTCGTGAATGACGAAATTAGTAGTCAATTCATAGGAGAATTAAGTACTGGTGCTTATTTCTGCATTGGAAGGACTCCCCCCACCTACCAAGGTCACGTAGTAAAGTAGATACAAAACGGCTGCGAAAATTAAAAATAAGGCGGATCTCGCGTATTATACTCAGCCGTGTTTTAATCATCTTAGTAACAGATGCTTAGAATGACTTTTCTCTTCTTTGGTAAGGTAACCAAGCCGTTTAGACCCAAAAAAATAATCAAGCAACGCATTTCTCTCCGTATTGTCGTATATGAATAGAATTTGCCTATCCCATGAAACACTCATTGAGCAATTTCGCAAATGAAGGTTCCGCCCATTAGAACACCCAATTGGACGAAGGACCACTATTTATCGACGGATATGGAACTATAAATATGGCTTCAACGTCTCCGTTTCTGACATTGCTAGTCTTTCATTTTACAGTCATCATCAGATTTCAATAACCAATGAAATACTATATTCAATTTTTACTTCCCGTTGCTGTTGTTTCCGCATCAGATCTTCCATTTTTGGATTTAAGTAAAATATCCAAGAGAGCAGATTCCAGTTGTACAGATTGTACTGATGCTGGTAATACTTTGGTTGACGAGTGTAATATCACATCTTTAGATCAACTTTCAACTGATCCATCCGCGCTCACCTGTATGTGCCAACTTGGTAGTAGCTTTTGGGATGATCTTAGTAAGTGTGCCAAATCCTCCTGTAGTGGCGTTGACGTTTCCACTTCTGAAACCAGTCCAAGTGGATTAAAAAACGACTTTTGTCAAAATGATAGCGTGAACGAAGGGTCATTATTAGGACCGGGATCAATCTTTTGGTTAGCCGCGGTAGCATTGCTCTGATCGAGAGTGCTTCAATCCCCCTCTTTATATTCTTAGTTAACAGTTTATAATAGAATATCTCAAAGACTATCTATTTATAATAAATATATTTTGATTTCAAAATCTCTGAAAGAGCTTTGGCAAATGATAAATTTGTAAGGAGAATGGCTCAGTCATGTATGGAAAATGAGAAAATTTCCTAATCTCTAACTGATCCGAATCAGGCTTAAGCCACTCATTCAAGAAATTAGGACTAGAGACTTCAACCTCCTACCTCCTAGGAGGCATAGACACCAGTAACTTTTTTGTTTGAATACAAAGAGTATTTATGTTGTGTAAAACTCATCTCGGAATTTTTTTGGTGACTCCATACTTTATTTTTCGGATTTCTTCTCATCTCTTCCCCAATGATTACTACCACCACCACCCACCATCAACCATGAGTACCAACGAAACATTCTCCATATGCAACAGATGTCTAGGACCAGACAAGCATCTAAGAATGATGAAACAAGACAACGGTGCTGAATGCAAACAATGTACGCGACCTTTCACTTTATATCGATGGGGTAATCGATCAGCAGCAAATAAACTTACCAAAACAACTATTTGTATAACGTGTGCTCGAGCTAAAAACTGTTGTCAAGCTTGTCTATTGGATATAAATTATGGAATCCCAACAGATATTAGAGATACGGCATTGAAATTGGCTGGGATCGAGCCGATGTCAATGATTAAAGATCTGGCCAATCGAGAAGTGAAGGCAATCATGGCCGACAAGTTAGAGAAGTCATTCGGTAAACAAGATGAAAGAAATAAAGCAGCAGAAGAAGAAAAAGACAAGGCAAGGAAAATATTACAGAAGTTGGCAGAGAGACTTTCAGGAGGTGATGATTCAATTCCAAGGATAGAAAGTAGCGATCCAAACAATACTGGAGAAGCCTCATCATCTTCTATCAATGTGTCAAAGCTTACCAAGAAATTACCATTTGGAAACCTGTTAGATCCAACTACATATCCTGAAATAACATCATTTTTCATATTTGGATTCCTGGAAAATCTACCTCAATATATTATTTCCAAATATTGTTCGGAATATGGGAAATTGAAATCAATTATAATCAATCATGATTGTAAATGTGGATTCATTGTATTTGAGAAACGAGAAGCTGCAGAAAACTTTGCCAAATCAATCAATGACAATGGATTGAATAAGAATAAAAAGACAGCAGGTCTCTTAGTACTAGAAGGGATCCCAATGAGGATTTGTTTTGGGAAACAGAAGCCATTGGGTAAATCAAAACTGGATTATAAACATGTTAGTTTAGTTGTTGGTAAAGTTATGAAGCAATTGGCAGATAAAGATAGACATAGTGACAAAACAGAAAATAAAACTATTACAAAGAAGAACCCAAAACAACAACAACAACAACAACTAGACAACAGTGCCAAACCAAGCAATAAGAATAAGAAAGAAAAGAAGGTTGCTTCTAATAATAATAATCAATATCAATCTTTACAAGCAGATTTTGAAATTTAATAAATCTTTTTTTTTTCTTTCTTACCAATGAATGGTCTTAAACAAATGATCTGTCGTCTGTCTGTCTCTCTTTCTCTCTCTCTCTATTTTTAACAAATATTTAATTAATAGATTTGAATAGAAAATTGTAAAAGATGGATCATGATGAAGTTTTATGTGTTGTAGTAGCAATCATATTGTTACCAATATTTCTCATACTTTTGAGATTGATTTGGATATTACCAGCATTAAGATTACCATCCACCATTCTGGAAAAGAGAAATCTTAATGAAATACCAAATGGATCAACAATGGCAATCTTTTTAGGTTCTGGAGGACATACAGGAGAAATGCTCAGACTTATTTCAAAGTTGAATTTATCGAAATTCACTAGAACTTGGATCTATTCATCTGGTGATAATACTTCAATTAAAAAGGCAACTGAATTTGAAGAAGCTCAATTGAATGACAACAATGAACATCATCAACCACAATATCTTTGTATACCAAGAGCAAGAAAAGTAGGAGAACCAATTCTTCTGTCAATCATAAGTACATTATACTCCTTCATTATATCTGCCATTAAATTGGTTTTCCTCAAACGGAAACCTTCAATATTATTATTAAATGGTCCAGGTACAACTGTACCAATTGCTTACATAATTTTTACTTTAAAATTTTTAGGGATTTGTAATACAAAAATAATTTATGTGGAAAGTTTGGCAAGAGTTAATAAATTGAGTCTTAGTGGATTGTTATTACTTCCAATATGCGATCGTTTTATTGTTCAATGGGAATCATTAGCTATTAAATACAAACGAGCAGAATACTATGGAATATTGATCTAGTCCTCCACCATACAAAATGCCCTCCACTTTTTTGACATTGTTTTCGATCTATCGCGAATAAAAACTGAAAAATAAAATTTTGGCTGCGCGTATCAAGTTACCATTTGACTTAGTTACCAACCACACGTCTAATATGTCGGGTAAAGCTATGGGTAATACCTTTGATGGTGATATCTATGAATTCCCTGGAATAGCAGTTGATAAGTTCAATATACGAGCTGATGCATATTTCCTAACCCATTCTCATAAAGATCATTTATTAGGTTTAATTAATAAATCATTTTGCAGTCGCGTATATTGTTCATTATTAACCAAACAACTAATTGCACTAGATAAAAGATATAAAGACGTTATCCCATTTCTAGTAACTCGGGATTATAATACACCTTTTGAAGTACTTACAAAGACTACCAGAGTTACAGTGACATTGATTAATTCATATCATGCTCCTGGTTCATGCATGTTCTTATTTGAAGGAAACGAGAAGGTAGCATTAGTGACAGGTGATATTCGAGCCGAGTCATGGTGGACGTCTTCATTGATCAAAAATCCTTTTTTATTTCCGTATATTACTGGTCTCAAACAATTGGATCAAGTATATTTAGATACTACGTTTTCATACCGTGGAGAACCATATATTTCAATCATGCCAAATAGTGATGGAATATTTGCGGCAATTGAGCTTTTGAAATTATATCCCAAAAATGATAAAGAGATTCAATTTTCTTTTATGGACGCGGTTTCTGGATCAGAAGAGGCATGGTTTCAAATTGTAAATTATTTCAATGGGGATTTGATGGGAGATGGACATATTATGAAAAGAGTTAAATTAATTAATGAGAATTCAGATGTATATACACCTATCCAATGCAATAAAGGAACACTACCGCGTTTCCACGTTGGAACCATAATCCAACCGGGGCAAGAACAACCAACAGTCTTAATAACCATCAAACACACTATCGACTTTAATATTGTCGACTATACCGGATTTTGCCTACCTAAAAAGCTTTCTAACATAGACACCAATAACCTCCAGCTCTTGAATGAGACAAAGATGGGAACCAAACTATATCAATTTGAATGTCGTAATTGGATCTTACCACCAGGAGCTGAAGAATTACTCCCAACAAATGTCAAACTTATGTTTTCACGTCACTCATCCTATGAAGAACTGAGAAAGTTTATAAAACAATTCAAGCCAAAACTGGTCTATCCTTGTGTCGAATCGAAGTTGAGTTGGATGAATGGATTTTCCGTCGGTCGTGTGTTTGGAGATCTATGTACCAATGAACCCCATGAACATCGATATGATATTGAACGATTTCGTGCTTTTGGAAATCCTGATATTGAAATCCGGAATCGAAAAGTATGTGCAATCAATCGGTGGTCGTTTACGCAATGTATAGAAGAGGCAGAGTTTGTTGACGAATATACACGCAAGGGAGAGGTTCCTTTCAAAGGAACGTTGAAGTTGGTTACTAAGGATCCGGTTCTGAATCAAGAGGATAGAAGTGCGGCATATAGTTGGAAACGAGATTTTCGATTACAGGGTATTATTGCAGGTAGAGGCGAGGAGAGATATAAACGATTAATTAATCATCATAGAGAAGTGAAACAGAATAAGTTTTTTGATATTAGAAGTGATGGCTACTCCAGCAGTTATGATAGTGATTCGTATTTTGAGAATGCATCAAGTACAGATAGGGATTCAATTTCTGATGTGAGTGAGTTAGAACAACAACAACCTACCACAGCTTGCAGTGCTAAAATGATCAATTCCAGTTTTCTGTCTATAGAGCAATCATTTGCAGATTTAACAAGAACAGATGAACTCCGCGAAGACGGATTTGTCTCGCCATTTATCAATAGTTCGAGAATACAGCATATTACCAATAGTTTACAAGCCGATAGGACCAATTGGTTTGAATTCAAACTACAATCACTCTCGAGGAATAAATATCACCAAAAGTAAAATATAATAAATATTTTTCTATAATACATAAATGTACTTCCTCTAATATACAAGTAAGATTCCCAACATCCATTCCTTGGGGATCCACATCTAATTTTCTTTCCATCTATGTCCACACTTGACACACTTATAAAACGTAGTCATGGGTTCATCAGCCGATCTAATTTGAAGTTGGAAGAAATATGCCTTATCCCCACCACAAGAATCAATAGGACATTGTGCAGCTGTTTGGTCAACATTATCCCAAGTCCCTTCACCACCAAGTACATCATCTACTTCCTTTCGTGATAGTTTCTTTCGTTCATACATTTGTAATCCGTTGATTTTAAATTCATAAGGACATGTGGGACAATAAAATCGATTGCAACCATCATCTCCGGGTGAGATGAGAAGCATATTGGAACAGTTGGGACAGAATGTTAACATCTCAAAGGGTTGGTTCTTCTTTTATTGTGTCATCATCATCATCATCAACATCAAATCCATCTCAGAATATTTTTTTCAAAATTCCTGACTGTGAGCCCTATTTGGGATTTACACCGAAAAAATCAAAATATGAAATATAATTTTCAATTCCAATAATTTGACAACAACATTCCACAACATCATTCTTCCAATACGAATGACGAACCACCAGAATAGTCCTACAAGAAGTGGGTCAATGACTCACATGCTTCCATCACCAAATAGGACCAACAAAATCCCAACATCACCTAACAAACTCCCCTTCAATGGACTAAAACACTTACTCTTGACTGTCAGATCACCTAGTGGTTCTGGACGGGCAGGTTTACCATCACCTGAAAAGCGACCAAGTTCCGAGCTTGACAAGAGTGCACGTAAGAGAGCTATTAATACATCCAACCTATATCGACGCTCCATGGACGATGACGACGAGGGAGATCAGGATGGAATATTGGATCGACAAGAACGAGAATTGGCAGAACGGATTATTAGAGAATCGCGTGGAGAGGTCGTTGCTGCGGAAGAAGATGAAGATGACGATGAATCTGAGATTGAAAGGTATTATGGGAGTGATGTTGAATTTGAGGAGGATTTAACTGAAAGAAAAGCCAAGAGGACCAGAACCAAAGCCGTTAAGAAAACAACATATGTTGAAACTGATTCTGAAATAGAGTCGTCTCCAAGTGAAGAATTCACTGACGAATCAGATATGGAAGAGCAAGAATCATCGCGTCCGAAAAGGAAAGCTAGGACTCGAATTGTAGATTCTTCACCCACGCGAAGAAAACAGAAACGAGAGAAACGACCAAGAAAGGAACCAGAAGATCATAAGCGTAGGGGAAGACCACCAAGAACTGAATTGATCGCTAGTCAAGTCAAGAGTATTTTTCAACAAGATGATGAAGAGTTCGCATCCGATACAGTACCAAGCTATAAGTTGAACCGTCGAGATGATGCAAGCCCAAAACAAAAACAGATAGTTGCTTCTAACTTTGTTAATGCTTTATGGGAGAAGAGTTCTACTATAAACACTGTTCCAATAGTTAGCGGTATAAAGAAAAAGCCATCCGAGCTATCGGATGATCAACCAACTAAACTCAAATTTGAGCCATTGCCTATCCCTAGGATGGATTCAGAAGGAAATATTGTCGATCAAGAATATCTAGATAAATACTTTGATGGGATAGATTTTACAAAATGCACTGAAGGGAGATTTCTTGATGACAGGGCGTTTTTCTTGGAAGGTTCAGAAGGTTATTTTGAACAGCATCAATTCAGATCCAAAGCCAAAGCAAACTCACTTGGAGATGCTGCTCCTGGTCTGATTGATTATCAAGATTTCAATTCATATATAAAATTGAATAATTCTTTTGCTCAAGAACAGAAAAATACATTAAAAGATTTGCATAAATATTTATATAACCAATGGTGTTTTGAATTGACTCAAGGGTTTAATCTCAATTTCTACGGGATCGGGTCCAAACTTGATATTTTAAATGACTTTATACAGGAATACTTCGGCATTTGGTACGAAGATGTTCTCCCCAATGATCCAATGCCTAAAGTTCTAGTAGTAAATGGGTATAATCCGACAATCAGTTTGAAGAAGTTAATATTGGAGATTGCATCCTGTTTAATTCCCAAAGACAAAAAAGTGAAACTTCCAAAACATCTTTCCGGAACAGTTCCATTCTTGATCAACTACATGAAGGAATCACGGGAGGAAGTCCATGATCAAGGGTTTATCAAACCAAAGCTAGTCTTAGTAATCCACAGCTTTGATGGTGATCTTTTCCGAGATGAAAAAGCTCAAAATCTTTTAATTCAATTATGTGGCCTACCAGAAGTCTGGTTATTGTCGTCAACTGATAATCTAAATGTTGGTTTATTATGGGATCTGTTCAAACTGAAAAATTTGAATTTCATCTGGCATGATTTAACTACATATGCATCATATACGACTGAGATGTCATTCAAGGATGTTTTAAGTCTTGGAAGATCAAAGAAATTCGTTGGTGAAACTGGGGCTAAGTTTGTGTTGAGATCATTAACGGATAATCATAGGAATTTGTATCGTATATTATTACAATCACAGATACAAACAATGACAAAGTTAGTTGCGACAAAAGCTGCAAGAACTGGATTAAAAGGAAGTCTGAAATATGGTATTCAGTTGAAAGAGTTGTATGAATTATGTTTGGATGAGTTTATTACATCCAATGAAATCACATTCAGAACATTGTTAACTGAATATATTGAACATAAAATGTGTCAATTGGTTAAGGATAGTTCTGGGGTAGAGATTGTGTTCATTCCATTTAGTTTTGATGAAATGGAAAGACTCAACCAGGAAGAGTTTGTACCAAAAGCATAATATAGAATAGCATAGCACATATAGAGTAAGTCATAAAAGTAGTAATCACTCGTGACTGTAGTAGGTAGCCCGTAGTGGGCGTGGGCCGTAGTTGATATTTGAAAAATTTCTCGGCTGTAAATTCACGTGACAGAATTTCCTAATTTGGATTTTCTGATTGATCTGTCTTTTCTTCGTGGTACGGGAAAGCGGTCATTGAGGTTTTGACGCTTTTTATATCGATTCCCACAAACTCCCATTGCATTCTAATCAACACTCTTACACTGCCTTGTTTATTAATATAGAGCACACACAGCCTCAGTAATAGATTTACCATAGATCAAACACAAAATGGCGAATTTTCCGAAACTTCCTCCTGGAACTGAACTTCAAGTAGGAAGCCATAAAGTGCAGATCATTAAATATCTATCCGAAGGGGGATTTGCTCATATTTATAAAGTATCAATTGATCCAATAGAAGATGACAGTAACATTGCGTGTTTGAAACGAGTGATTGTTCCTGATAAGAATGGATTGAACACTTTACGTAAAGAAGTTGATGTCATGAAGACCTTGCGCCACGGAAGAAATATTGTCAAGTATTTTGATTCTCATGCTGAACGATTACCCAATGGAACTTATCAAGTACTTGTGTTAATGGAATTATGTCCCAATAAGTCATTACTAGACTATATGAATGCACATATCAAGACCAAACTTGCTGAACATGAAATTCTTAGTGTAATGTTGGATATTGCCCAGGGGATTTATGAAATGCATAAATTGAAGTTAATTCATAGAGATATTAAAATAGAGAATGTCCTTATTGATGCTAAACATAGATTCAAAGTATGTGATTTTGGTTCAACCACAGTACCTATCATGCCGCCACAAGACCAACAGCAATTTGCCTTCTTGAGTCATGATATACTTTATCATACTACTCCTCAATATCGTGCCCCTGAGATGATTGATTTATATAGAGGACTTCCAATTGACGAGAAATCAGATGTTTGGGCATTGGGTTGCTTTTTATACAAATTATGTTATTTTACTACACCCTTTGAAGCCAATGGTGACATTGCCATTTTGCATGCATCTTTCCAATTCCCACCCAAACCCAAATTTTCAGGTGATCTTAAGAATCTTATAATTATCATGCTTCAAGAAAATCCAATTTTCCGTCCAAATATTGTTCAAGTATTAATGTTGATTTCAAAAATGGCTGGATTTGAATTTGAAGAATTAGGACTTTCTGATTTTTATAAACTTGGTCCATATAACTTCCAAGCCTTACATGAATATCAGGTTCATAAGCAGAATGAAATAATGAGACAGAAACAATTATACTTCCAACAACAACTCATATCAAGTTCACAAGCCCCAAGTACAGCCAGCTTACCAATGCCAGCTTCTGTTCCTATTCCTGGCCGACAAAACTTACCAGCAACAGCTGGTGCCGCCGCTTGCCTAACAGGTCCAGTAAATAAGACCCCTCAAAATTATGTCCCAGCAGTGCATGCAAGTTTGTCCGAAAATAATCTCGAATCACAACGGCCACCACACGAGGATGTAGAAGAACTCAAGCCACAACCAAAACCCAATTTACTTGGAGTTCCAGCAATCGAGATTATGGGTCAACAAAATCTGAATGAATCAGCATTAGATCTGAGTGATAATGAAGAATTGCTTGACGATATGGTTGATTTCGAAAATTTGGAGAATGCCGAAGCAAGATTCCCATCTTTGGACGATATTGACAATGAAATTAAGACCACGTTAAACAAAGCCGCTTCTGCAAAGACTGCGAGCGACGTACGCATCGATCATCAAACTATAGAATCATCAAAGAAACGGCAATCAAGCATGCAGAATGAACCCGCTTCTCAGGTTTCAAGAAAGGCTTCTCTTGAAGTACCGGTATCAAAGGGAAACACACGTAAAAGCTCGGACGACATTCCTAGAGTGGCATCAGAGCAGTCGTTATCTGCAGAAAAATCGAATTCTCAAAACTCAACAGAATATCATAGTATACAAGCATGGGAAAAGCAGCCGCAGCGAGTATCGATAGATACAGATACCGAACGAATTGCGGATGACATTTTCGGCGTAAGTAAAACGGAAACGCAAGATAAGATACCAGTAGAGGAAATGAATACCGATTTGCCTGTCAAGAATATGAATCACGATGAGACTACAAGCGTCAGTATCCCAATTCCGATGGCACATGATTCGAATTTGCTTGATCTTTCCGACGATTTAGATGCCAAATTAAGCATAAGCAACGAAAAGCCAACAGTGGTTTTCCAAGAACAACCAGACCAAAAGAGAAATTCTAATCCATTTCCATATCCCGCAGTTACTCCCAACATTGGCAAGATTAAGGCTCCACTTCCAGAACTTTCAATTTCTCAACAAAGTAGTACAAATCCATGGGGAGAATATAGAATGACGCCTAGTGAGTCGTCTTCACAAGCTCAAGTACAAACTCCGATCACAGCCCCACAGGCTATAGCCGGTATTAGTAATAATGCAAATATAGATCCAGGGACTCTTAGATCACCTCAGGATCAATTCCATATGTCTTCCTCTTTGGAAGCCCCAAGACCACAGGTATTCGTTGAACAACCAAACTTGATCGATTTGGAGATTGGTTTGAGCTCATCCACTTCAACTGTACTGTTGCTCAATAGTAATCCACCTCCAAAGATTGAGAACAATTTTACCATGGGTCAAGGAGATTCAAAAGTGTCTTTGATTGATTTAGAAGTAACAGAAGAACCCATTATCAAGTCAGCTTCAGATACACCCAAACCCAACTTTAAGAAACGCACAGGCGGTACAACATCGAGCGTTGTACCCGATCCAAATAATTTGAAATTTGAAGAAGAGATTATAGATTTTGCTTCTGATGATGAAAATCCTGACAATGCACCTACAATGAATAGAATGAGTATTAGAAAATCATTGAAGAAGTCGAGAAGATCAGGGGAACATAAACGGCCGGAGAGTTTAGTTAGTGAGACGAGAAAGAGGATTTCATTCTTCGGTGGGGATTGAATGTGATTTATATATAAAAATTTAATTCTATAGATTTTATTTGAAGTATTTAGTTATATGTTAATGCAAAGTTATAAGGTTTTATGAAAGCAAAGTATTGCCAAAAGTCATCGGTTGGTATGATGGTTCTTCTTTTTTTATATACTCTTCGCTACCAAATACCATATATGGAACAATTGGTAGCTCCCAGAAACTAGAAATGAATTCCTGCAAGGTTTCTGAATTGGGAAATGGGCCTGATCTCTTACCTCCGACTTTGTGAAACACTACTAATGATCCAGTAAACACCTCTTTTCATTCAGGATTGGCAGACACTTTTTTGACTATGCATGGAAGCAGGAATTTAAGAAAAAGTGTCTGCATATTTGATTGTGTCTGTCTGAATTTGCTGCAAATATCAAATGTCGCATTTGAAGTTTTTATCATCTTCTTCGAAGATCATCTTCCTCATCATCATCTTCAGCATTTGATTCCATCAACTGTTCTCTTTTATTTTGAATCCTTTGAGCAAATTGCAAATATTCCAATCTTTCCGCAATCTTAAATGCAGCATGAAGTTCTTCTTTCTTAATCATCTTAGCTACTTTCCATGCTTTAGTAATTTGTGCTTCCTTACATGCTTCCGCATATAATTTTAATAATGATCTATCATACATCATACCTAATTCATGAACTTTTTCCAAAATATGGGTTTAAATGAATTAAAATCGAATTGGGAATTTGGACTAATTATAGAATGAATGAATTGATTGAAATCTTGATTATGAATACGCTACCAAATACTTTCTTATTAGATCGCGCTACCAAATGTCTTCTTTGTTCTAGAATCATCGCTCTGAATAAACTGAAAAAAAAACTGAGAAGATGCAATAATTTTTTTTACAACACTTTAATCCCCAGAGCAACTCAAACCACAATGGAAGGATTAAGGAATGAGCTTTGTCAATTATTGTTATTGGCGCCTCATGAAACATTTACTCCAGATTCCGATTCATCTTCCCTGCAATTAATCCTGGAAATCTTGAAAGGGGAATATTTTACCGTGATAAATCAATTTCTTACCACCAACCAAGAAGCACAAGTGATTCTTACAAAATACCCTCAGACTAGTTTATTAGAAGTCTTGGTCGAGTATGTCGATTTTATAACTAGATCATCTCCTTCTCCAGAGGTCGCTTTACAACTATTGGCAATTTCATGCCTTCAATTGTTCACTCAAGCCAATTTCACTGGCCCTCAAGCCTCTACCACGGCACAATCTATATTGTTCCCTCAAGTTGATCTGGATAAATTGCAATTCGACGCAGTTGCAACTTTAAATTTGGAAGGTCAACAAGCATACGATTTAATGCAGGAACCTTTATTCTTAATCATTTCAGAATTGTTATTTGAAAGATTGATTGAGACTCCATTCCAATATAGTCTTTTCAATCCTGATATTACCAAGCATTCCGATAAGGTGTTAGAATATTTTGGGGAATTGGCCCATAGAACTAACGGAGGTGCTGAGTACGTTTTGGCATCGTTGTTTTGGTGGAAAGTTAGGGCTTTACAAATCCATCTGTCTGTACTTTCTGATCCACCAAGTTTAATACTGTCTATTTCGGGAATATTATTGAATAACACATTACCCAGTTCATTAGCACCGTCGGGACAAGCAGATCCAGAAACCCAGAGGTTGATACAAGTGCAATATTTGTTAGAAGCCGCAAGATTACATATCCATTCTCAGACTGAACATGGAGCAACTGGTCCCTTGACTAAGGCGAAGCAGATTTCTCAATTCAACTTTTTATTATCAGGTGCTAAAGCTAAAAGAACCAAGTTTCAACAATTCCATACCTCTACATTGATTGTGCTAGCCAAAAGTGGAATTACTACTTCTTTGTACGACAAATCTACCGGAGACGCGGGTGAAAATCCTGAAGCCTTCGAATTGAATTCAGATTTATTATTGGAAAAGCCACATTTCGAATCCTTGCAAGATTTAGAGTTAGAAACTTTTCAACAAGACGCGAAAAGGATCAAGTTTGACTCCTTTGGGTTGGAAGATGATGTCAATCAAGATGAAAAATTATTACCCATTGCGATTAAACAAACAGATATTCCAGACGAATTACGTGAATTAGATCCAAACAATCAACCTTCATTATCAAATCTCGATAACTTACAACTTTTATTACGTCTCACGGTTCTCAAACAAACGTCTCCTGCTTCAGATCCATTAGTAGAAGAAGAATTACAAGCATTAGTAAGCAGGGTTCTCTACAATAGTACCGAAGGAAAAGCCCCCAATTGGACAATCTTCTCCCGTGCACTCTGGGAACGTTCATTATTAGAAACCGGAAAATCCCGTACTATAGAACGTGGAATTCTTCAAATGACTTCGCTAGTTGAAGAAATGGGTATCAAGATTAAAACTCGTTTGATTCCGCAAGCAGCCACCGAGGATCCTAACACAGTAACCGCACTGAGAATCAGATTCATCCATCAGTTACCATTATTACCCCAATGGGCAATGGACGCCCAATTGGCCGAGAAATATATGTCATTAGGTGTGTTGAGGTCGGCATTAGAGATATATCAACGATTGCAAATGCATTGTGAAGCAGCACTTTGTTATGCAGCTGTAGATAATGAACTAGAAGCCGAGAAAGTCATATTAGGCAGATTAGAGACTCACCCGCATGATGCAAGGGCAATCTCAATCTTGGGGGACATAAAACAAGATCCGGCATTATGGTTAAAAGCATGGGAAATTGGTAGATATGCTAAAGCAAAATCCTCACTTGCTAATTACTACTACAGTCCGCCAGCAAATTCTGGAGTGACTAAGAATATTGATTTGGCAATTGAACATATGCATGATTGTCTTACTGCTAATCCGTTAGTCTATCAAAACTGGTATTTCTACGGTTGTTGTGGACTTGAATCCCAGCAATTCGAACTTGCAAGTGAAGCTTTCACCCGTTGTATTTCGTTAGATGAAAGCAATTCGTATGCGTGGTCAAATTTAGCAAGTGCATTGTTGAAATTAGATAAGACAAAGCCAGCGTTCAATGCATTGAAGAAGGCGATTAGATGTGGTGGAGAGCTGAGAAAATCATGGAGAATTTTTGAAAATTATATGATTGTGGCTGCAAAGCTTCATGAATGGAATGATGTTTTGATCGCTGTACGGGAATTGATTGAGATTAGAAAGCTGGAAGGTGATACCGCTATAGATATTCCAGTTATTGAGAAATTAGTCGAAATATTAGTTTCCACTGAATTCCCAACTGATGGAGAGACTAGATTAACTCATTACCAAAGATCGTGTGTTGACTTAGTCTGTAATATCATTCCTAATGTCATCACATCATCTACCAGATGTTGGAGAATTGTCGCTAGGGTTGAATTATGGCGTAAGAGACCTTGGGATACTTTGGAATGTCACGTAAAAGCCTACCGAGCAATCATAAGTAATCCAATGCTTGAATCTGACGAATCTGTTTGGAATGAAGCGGTGGATGCTTGTGCTGATTTGGTTAGTGCATATGAATCATTGGGTGAGTTACCAGGGAAGCATGATGCTGGAGATGTGGTTTGTCAAGATTGGAAATATAAGGCTAGAAGTTCTGTTAGGACTTTGATGTCAAAGGGTAAAGATATGTTTGAAGATTCTACAGGATGGGATAGACTTGTAGAGATGAAGCAAGATTTAAGTAATAATTAAAAGTTTATAAATGTTATAAATAGGTAATAAATGAGTATAGAGAGTTAATGTAGATCGCTAATAATACTAAAATTATCGAAATCGATTTTCAAAGTATCTTCCGGAATGAAATGATGGTGGTTATTTGCAACTGTTGAAAACAGGCGTTTATCCTTTTTGCTCTTGGTAAGTCGTTTATGTAAACCAGCAAACGTACTAAATATCCATCTTACTATTGCTTTTGCAGTTGTCAGATGTTCCCATTTCAATAAATAATATGAAGTGAATAAAATTATCCTTTCAATGGACCCGTATTTAAAAGCTTCATACCAGAACCTGATCATAACTATGTTTTCCAAGAATGTACTTAAGAATAGCAACTTATTCTTGATTGAAAATCTACTAAACGACCAGGATGGTTTACCAATTGAACTTTTGATCAACATCCCAGATTCAACTTTGATTAAACCTAACAACCCCAACAAAGAATGCAACAGAACATATAACAATTTGAATGAATTTCCAGGAGATGTTAATATTAATCCAGATGTTACTAACATAAATGTCGTTTCATTTCTCAAAACACTTGGGATTGGATCATCAATGATCTTAATTCTAGAATCATGGATCAATCTAATTCGATTCCTATCAAACGTAACCCGTGAAGAATTGAACAAAATAACAAAATGTTTGATTTGATAAATTGCACAAGTCAAATGCCCAACTAGGGAACTTGAAGTAGCTAGGAGATATGCATAGTGTTGTTTTGATTCATTAGGGGAATAATAATGAAAGAACCAAATTAGACCACAAATTATGGTGGTTGCTTTACAGCCCACCCAAACATCAGCCATAAAATCCTTTCCATGTGAGTTATAGATCAGTAAATATGAAGAACCGAATTTATTGACGGAGTTTGAGAAATTTTTTAGGAAGTTCATGAATGTGATTTTGATGGTTTTATATAAGAATATGAAACATGCTGCATAGAATTCGATTAGGATGCTGAAAAAACGTAGGAATGATAATTCGGGGGCAATGAAAATTATATTGTTTATAGCAGTTTGTAATGATAGTGGTGTTACTTTCACCATTTTGATGGATGATTGCATAAGGTTAGCTATCTTCAGGAAGAAATTTGTTCGCAAAAAGAATTGCAAAATTTTTTTGCAACAACTTTTTCTTTAAAAACAACACACAATTTGAAACATCAACATTTGTTCTTTTGGGTTGACATTTACACAAGTTCTAAATTTATTTGTTGGATTATCAACCCAGAAGATTGAGATAGAGATTGAAATCTCTTGATTACCTTAATTCTCTTCGTATAAATACTTTTGCGGGAGCTATGTATCATTATTAAATTGCCAACTTATGGTTGGTAGGTAAGTAGAATATAAAAAGATCTGATAGCCCATTATAAAAATAGAAGTTATCCTGGAGAAAAAACTGCAAACTGATATATTTATATGACTTGAATGACAGCGCTCCGAATTTGTACTTCTTAGCCAATTTGTAATATTTTGATATACCCCAACTTCCGACATATTAAGAAGTATATGGACACACTAGCTTCAATGGGTCCGCAAACCAAAACATCGCTCTTTGAATATCTCATGTGTAACTCACGAACCAATTGGATAGCCTTCGTGTCTGGTGATAACATATTCTAGCAGTTTCGGAGGTATTCATCTTGACGAGGATGTTTTTTGATATCTTCGAAGTTATAATCTATCTAGCAACTAATTGGGCCTGAAAACACCCTCATCATATTCTTATCAACAGGAAACAGTTGTTTTTTACTTTTGTACCCACCATTAATTATGAACCCTGGGTACTTTGATATTTTTTATGCCCGATTTTGTAACTAAACTCGCTTAGCTGTCCCATTTTGGGAAATATGATACACAAAGTCACATTTTTTTTGGTGCAGAATTGATCATAGGTGCATATAGATGCATATGTACCTGAATGTTGTCAGTGCCATCAAATCTATTCGTTGCACATAATAATAAAAGTGGCGAATTATACAGTACGCGAGTTCAATTGCGCTTTTTCCAGATAATATTGCAGCAAAAAAATGTCGCAATCTTGGACAGTAGTTAAGAGGAAATACCCGTATTAACAGGAAAGGAAGGAAAGTCTGTACAAAACGCTTTCATATCAGCACATGAAGAACTGGCATAATAATCACTAGACCATATCTTTTGCTCATGTATAATGGTTTGATGTGATTTCTCGGTTTTCAAGAACACGAAACCGTTAGAGTCGTCTACGGAGGTATTACTAGCGAGATATTGACAACGAGTTGTCAAACAATTTATTTGCAACCAAACTTTTAGCATTTTATTGGTGTAAAAGTACGAAACATTTTAACTAATAATGGATAATGAAAGAAACTACACCTCAAATCATATTTACTGATATGAATCCACCAAAATAAGAGAGGACCTGTCTAATTAAACTAAATTCTATAAAATGCTTCGATACCAGAAGCCCTGCGACCCATCAAATTAACCGTCAGGTAAGGTAACCAATAAACAGAGATATTAAACCGCAGGAATAACCTACAGAAACTTAATGGATGAGAATAGCAAGATTTATGGTATACTTAGAGATACCATAGCAGAGAAACATACAAAGTGCCATATATCTGTTTAGCTTCATAAAAAGGAGGTTGTCTCTACAATAGAATAACCACACTTATATGCAGTCGATTGTATGTAACAGCGCCTCGTTTCCGGGTAACACGTTAGTTTAAGCTTGGGAAAACATCCACTCGAAGTATTCAAAAGATGACAGCAAGATCTTGAATGTTGACATCATTGTTAGAATATGTCAAATTAGTGACTAAGATAGACTTAAGCGGTGGACTTATAGTAAGTTGTATTGTTCTAAAGTCGTGACACATCATTAATAGGTATTGTTCTAAAAAAAAAAAAATTCAACGTTGAAACCAAAAACAGAAAAAAAGAAAATCACAAAATTTACGAACTCAACAGAAAAAAAAGAACGTTAATTGGAAATTTAATTTGAATTTACTTTTAATTAAAAGAGAATCTCCTCATTTAAGTGTCCATTTGTTTACTTAAGAGATCTTGTTTAACTTATTATAGATATACAGCATTAAAGTATAGATAGTTAATCTTTTCTATACAGAATTATATAAACCAGCATCAACAACGTCATACACAACGTATTTATTTGTAGAGAATAAGGCATATCTATAAATAGAGAGAGAATCAAAGTCTACGTGTCACGCAAGTCATTTCTCAAAAGTCAACAAACTACAAAAACATAGCATTCTTATTAATTATTATTACTATTCATATATATAAACATGTCCATTGATGATAAATACATTGGATTGGGATTGGCCATGTCCTCATCTTTGGCTATTGGTACTTCCTTCATCATTACAAAAAAAGGATTAATGGATGCTGCTTCACGAAGTTCATCAAGTAGTGTACAGGCACAAGATTATTTACAAAATCCAATATGGTGGGGAGGGATGATAACTATGGCAATTGGAGAAATTGCCAATTTTGCTGCTTATACTTTTGCACCAGCTATTTTGGTTACACCCCTTGGAGCACTTTCAGTTATTATTGGTGCTGTATTGGCTGCTATTTTCTTAAAAGAAGAATTAGGAACTTTAGGGAAAATGGGTTGTGCAATTTGTTTAATGGGATCAGTTATTATTATATTGCATGCTCCTCCTGATAAAGAAGTTGAAACTGTTGATGAAATCTTGGGTTATGCTACTCAACCAGGATTTTTATTTTATTGTACTGCCGTGGGATTATACACGTTATTTATGGTTTATAAAATTGTTCCAAAATATGGTGATACTAATCCTATGATTTATTTATCTATTTGTTCTTCAGTTGGATCCATTTCAGTCATGTCAATTAAAGCATTTGGTATTGCACTTAAATTGACTTTAGGTGGTAATAATCAATTTACTCATGTATCAACTTATTTATTTTTAATTGTGGTTGCTATTTGTATTGTTACTCAAATGAATTATTTCAATAAAGCTTTGGATCAATTTGATACTTCAATTGTTAATCCATTATATTATGTCACATTCACTACATGTACACTTGCAGCATCATTTATTTTATTTAGAGGATTTAATACATCGTCTGCAGTGGATATCATTTCTTTATTGATTGGATTTTTAATTATCTTTAGTGGAGTCTATTTATTGAATATCTCAAGAAAAGAAAATGACGGTAAAGATCGTGAAATCTTTGGTGTTCATACTAGTAAAGATATGGGACCTATGGATAATGGTGTAGGTGGATTCAGTACAGTCAGACGCTCCATGCAGGTTAGCAGAAGTGTTGATTATAACAACGAAGAAACTGTGGGTTTAAGACGCTTTGATAGTTTTGAAATCGATGAAGAAGATGAATTTGATGATACCTCATCAAATCATCGTAGACTTTAAACACAGATCAAATCAGATCTCGATCAAACAAAAACTTTATAGATTGTCTTTTATTTTTAGTGTACATTATCATTTTACAATACATATTAGAGAAAGAAAACGAGGTATATTGGTAACTTTTTTTAAAAACTCTACCTATATATGCAAAAAAAAGACAAAACTCTAACTATTAAACTAAAGACCACTATATACTCAAACACACACACAGAGAAATACACTGTACAAAACACATTTTCTTATTAATATACACTTTTTTCCACAATTAAATATCATCGATATCCAATTCATCTGCACCTTCACTTTCATCTTCATCAGCACCGAATTCGAAATTAACATCTTCATCTTCATCAGCACCAAAAGTATCAGTTTCATTAATCTTGGCGTTTTCAGGTAATTCACCCATATTCTTTAAAGTTCTAGCTTCATCAGAATTGAATTTATGCACGACATCACATTGATCATCTTGGAAATCTCTTAAACAAACCAATATAATATCACCTTGTCCCATCCAAACTTTCTTTCTTAATTTTCCTCTAATATGTCCCATTCTTTTTATACCATCAAAACACATAACTTCTAATCTACCATTACCTAACATTTTGGTGATTTGAGCATATTCTTGACCTTCTTCTTTAAGAATTAATTCTCTCTTTTGACCACTGTTGTCACTCTTTCCTCTTCTTCTATTCTTTCCTCCTTTTCCTTTACCTGTTTTACCCATCTTTATCTATAAATGCTTATGCTTAGTAAAGATCCAGAGAAAGAGAAAAAGAAAAATTTTAAAGTTCTTTTTTTTTTTAAAAAACTCACTTTGACTGATTTTTTGTATTGTGTGATGAGATTACGTAAGATATTATGTAATCACAATATGGAATAAACTCTCTAATGAAAAAAAATACTTATAATCTACCAGGGGAACCATTTACTTTCTCTTTCCTTTTCACAGTAACTATCAAACTGTATTTAATATGGACTCATTCGAAGCTGCTAATCAATTCCTGCAAATCCTCAAGACACTTACCCCTTCCATTCAAAATCTAACTCGAGCCGCTCATTTTGCTCTTAAAAATAGTTCAAAAGAAGATTATTTATTTCCAATAATATTAGATATATTACAAGATGATAAAATTGAATTAAATAACAAATCAACAATATTCCAATTCATTGATATTTTAATTAGTGAAAGTTTTAGTCTGCAATTCAAATCTGGTGATGATTATCATTATCCTTATATTCAAAACATCAAAATAAATCTACCAACAATTATAAAATTAGTGGTACCAAATAATGATCAAGAAAATACTTATTATTCAAATTTATATAATTGTTATAATTGCTTAGTATCAATTTCTAAATATTTTAAAATTGATAGTGAGAAATATATTCAAAAATTCAATTCAAATCAATTATCAACCCAAGATCAACTCAATATTAAAAATAATCTCGAATTTACTCCTGATGATATTGATATAACTTCCCCTAGTGAAGATCCATTGGTTGTAGCTTGGAAAATCTTATTACAAATCAAACATCAATCACAATATAATCGAGCAAGATTATTACTTAATTCAAGTCCAGTTGTTGACCCAATAAGTTCCGAAAATGATTTATTCAACATTCGTGAAAAGTCATCCACTACCACCACCACCACCACCACTCCAAACAATAACATCCTTTCGAAACGACAAATATTATCACGGATGGAAGATGACCGGGAGGCTCATAAACGATCAAAAGAAATTCTTTGGCTTGTGAATCGTGATCTGGCAGGATCGAAGAATTATCCAACAGAAGAAGAATTTCTTGATCATTATTGGAATAAATTTCATAGATTGGAAGGAAGAGATAAACGAGATTTCTTAGATTCTTTACAGGATATAAATAACTTAGTCAGACAGAGTTATAAAGATCCTCAATTTTGAAAATATGGATATTTAAAAAAAGAAAGGGTTTCTTATATTAAAACAAAATAGATAGAGTAAATTAGATTAAGAAAGTAATAATGTCTATATAATTATACAAAAGTGTCTCATGTTTGCTTACTTCAAAGCTGATCTGGCAAATATACGAAGAATCTCATTTATACCCCTAACACCATACATTGCTTCAGTTTTCATTTCCGTTTCCATCAATAACGTAATTGTTAATGTATTCTCCACCTCTCCAATTGTATGTAAATGATTAATATACTCATAATTTGCTTCATCAATAGTGGTCAACCCACCACTATAAAGAATAGAACTAACTCCCTTCTTCCTATTCTTGCTATTCTTATTCTTATAATATTCAATTATATATCTCAAAGCTTCTAAATTGATTTGATTCTTTTGAACAATAACCAGATTTCTAACCAATGTAGCATGTAATCCAGCCCCACTACCACCAACACCATCTTCATCACTCTCATACAAGGTATTAATATGTTGGATGAGATCTCCCATCGCATCCAAACTCCTCTGCCTATCTTCAACAAATGATCTCCCGGCATGGAATCGAATAGTACTATCCTGAATCTCACAAAAAGATCCTGGAAGTCTTTCCACTTTGGATTGAATCAATTGTGCAACTTGTGGCATCCAACTTTTTAATTCTGATTCATCAACAATTGAAATCCATTCCTTGGATCCAATTAATTTTATATATGATCCATTTTCAGCAATTAGTCCAACATTAGGATATCTCTTAAACATTATATCTAAATCATTCCGATCACAAAAACTAACCAAATAAACATATGTATCAGGATTCTCAACCAAATTGGCCAATAATCCAACTAATCGAACTGGTTCAGAAATGTTGACTTTTCCATTTATGCTAGATGGAGTAGGTTTAAAACCATTTTTATTGGCATGGATACTAGTTGGAGTAATTTCCACGGCTAAAAAGATCAATTTTTTACCATTCTTACCTTGAGTTAAGAAATCTTCAAATATTGATTGATTGAAGGTTTTGATACTCCCGACTCTTTTTTTGGAATCTAATTTCCAAGCATCATTGATACAATTCAAACAATTTTGAACCCAACTCTTAGAATCACGAGTAGTGACGAAATGATAACAATTTTGCCATCTGAATGCTTTTTCCTTCGGTGCCATGGTAAGACTATATGCAAAAGCCTCCGAAAATTTCTTTAAATCCCAAGGATTAATCAAAATAGCTCCATTTCCATTACATGATAATAAGGTGGAAGAACCGGTGAATTCAGATAACATTAATGGGGATTTCTTTTCACTAGTAGCAACGATATATTCATGACAGGTCAAGTTTAATCCTTCTCTCAATGACGAAACCACAAACACATCCGCTTCACATTGTAAGGCCAAATATTGATCGAAATCAATATCACGTTGTAATAAAACTACCGGTTGGACAGTGGAAATGTTTTCCGGAAGGGAATTTATTCTGGAAACAATCTTCATTATTTCTGATTCATATTGAGAATCAATATGAGAAGAACCACGAATACAAATTTGAATCAAGACGGTAGAATCAATATATTGAGGATTATTTTGTAAAAACATTTCATAAGCTAATAATTTATGTCTTATTCCTCTTAATTTATCCATCTTATCTCTACAGACAATAAGTTTTTTATTCTTCCATTTTTCTTTAATCAATTCTCGCCATTCTTTAACTTGATCACTCTCGACAATCTCCGCAAGACCAATGGCATCGATCCCGATTGGGATAGTATTGGCAATAGTAAGATTACCTTCATAATTAACACCACCATATTCATTAGTATCAGCTAATAATAATCGATTACAAGTTTGTAAGAAATGACGAACATATTCATCAGTTTGGAATGAAATACAATTAGCAGCCAACATCCCTTCCAATAATTCATTTCTTTGAGCAAAACATCTAAATACTTCCGACGAGGGGAAGGAAACATGAAGGAAAAGACCAATTTTTGCATTTGGTAATTGTTGTCTCACTAATTTAGGTACTAATAATAAATGATAATCATGAATCCAAATCATATTTTCTTCCTCGGGAGTTTTTCCACATTCACGATTATAAGTTTCCACAATCTTATTAGCAATTAATTGATTCATCAAAACATAATGATGCCAAGAATGTTCTTCAAATGCTTTTGATTTAGCATCATCAGGGATTTGATAATGTAAAGTTGGCCATAAGATCTGTTTACAGAATGATCTATAATGACCATCAAACGTTAAATCATCAGGATATACAACTTCACAATCATATTCTTTACTCATCTCATCAGCAATATTTTGTTTGACTTGACTGGGAACATCATCAGTTGGCATATCAATGATACCTACCCATTTAGTCGATGAGATTCCATTAACTCCAGCTTCAACACTTAAATTAACTGCTTTAGTTAATGATCCATTCCCATTTTCGGTAGGTTGAATTGTCCAAGGAGCAGTTTCAAAAATATTATCTTCATTTAATAAATCTGCTTCTAAACCCGGTTTGGAGAATCCTCCAAATGGAGCCAACCGGTTTTCATTCCTACCATGAACCATATCATTGAAGCTTTTTTCAAATGTGGAGACATTACCAACCTCATCGGTGACCTGGATAGGTAACATGGTATTATTCTGAGGATCACCTTCTTCAGATATTAAAGAAGCGGCACTGTGATTGTTATGTAAAGTGAAACCTTGCAGTTGTTGTTGTTTCCCAATGGTTGATTTAGCATAATTTGTAGGAGCCAACGAGACAAGATTTGGAGTTGAATTATTACGCAGTAAATTACCACCACCACCACCACCACCACTAGATGATGGTGTTGTTGTAGCAGACATAGTACCAATAGTAGGAGTTGCATTAGAACTAAGAGCTCTATTAAATTTCAATCCTGGAGGAACACCAATGGAATCATCAGTTGGTTTTTTGGATTCAATAATTGAACTTTCTAATTTAAATTTACTAAATCTTGATTTTGGTTGAATATACAGTGGAGTAGATGCTTCACTATTAGCTAAATTTGTTTCTGTATGAGGACGTTTAGCATTAGTTTGGGATCTTCTATTATAAAAGAACCCTTCTAGAGTATCAGCTCTTGGTTCATAACTTCTTGTTTGATATAAATCTCTTCCTCTTAATACTGGAGAAATTGGTGTTTGTTGTTTTGAAAGGGAAGGTAATAATGTTTCAGTATCATTTGAATAAGTTAATTCAATACTTTCTTGAATTGATTCTAAATCTGAAGTATCAACTTCAAATTGAACAGTATAAGGAAGGAATCTATAAACATTGAAAGGGTTAGTATATATATGTTCCTGATAAAAAGCAACCTTCAAAAGAAAAAGTTGTAAAAAAATTTAAGTTGTTATACTTACAATGATCCAATGATAACTGTCATAATGAATGATTTCTCTTTGATTCTATGATCTTTCTATTAAGGGGCGTGATTGAACAGTATGTATAAATCGTAAAAGGATAGTGATTGTACTTGGTTGTTGTCGTTGGTTGTAAATAAATTAAGGGGGTTGTTGTAAGAATTATAAAAATTGGTTGTAAAAATAATTTTGGGGGTGGAAATATAAATCTCAATTATTATAAAATTTAAATTTCAAAATTGCTGCGATTTTTACAGTTTTAATAAATTAAATTGAATTAGAGAGAAAGTAAAAATAAAATAAAAAGTAGAATTTTCTAGATTGCGATGATCAATTATATTATTTATAATTGAATTGAATTGATTATGTGTATGTCCTATAAGAATATGTGAATGTGTATGTGTGTGTGTGATTTATTTTATTATAATTATTATTATGGAGTTTGGATAAACTTCAAGGGTTTAGGATATCGGTGGTATTCTTATTAAATGTGGTACCATAAACAAGGGAGGGGGTGGACGTGGGAAACGAACAAACGATTCTTTTTTTCTTGTTGGGAACGATAATAGATCTCAATTGATCTCTGCGTGTATGTGTGTGTGTGTATGTATGTGTAACTCTTATGGTTCCGGGCTTACCACTTAACCGACATGTAACATTTTCTATTGTTTGCTTTGTTTGTTAGAAATTTTTTTTAAAAATGTGGTAAATGCCCCATGATTTTAATAATGACGTCATTGTTAAAATATCAAACCGAAACTTCTAGAACAAAAAGTTACACATATAAATTTTACTACACTACAATACTAATACACCAAACTATTCTCTATCATAATATGTTACATCTTTTATTAAGTAATTTTATTATATACTTTTTGATACTATACAACATCTTCCATATCATCATCTTCTTCATCATTATCTGAAGAAAGATCAGATAATTCTCTTAATATCGACTGTTCAATATCATCCACATCATCATCATCTTCTTCTTCTTCCATATTATCATTACCATCAAGTTGATTCTTATTATCATCTCGATCAGCCTGATTCTTAATTTCATCACTCTGTGAAGATGATGAATCTAATTGATCTCCTCTCTTTACTTCTTCTACCTCCGCCTCTTCAAAATCATCTTCTTCTGAATCTTCAAAATGTACTTGTTTCTGTCTATGTCCTTCTACTTCAACACGTCCTTCATTCTCCAAAACTACAATACTTGAACTTGGTGGTCGACTACTATCTCCTTCAGAAATATCATCATTCCCATCATTAAAACTAAGATCAGGAAATTGATGATGTCCTGGCTTATCTCCCTCATCATCATCCAGAAATTCATCCGATGAAGAAGAAGAAGAAGATGCATTAAAATTATTAAAATTAAATTGTATCTCATTGGCCTTTTGTAATTCTCGTTGTTCTCGTTCACGACGTAATTTCTCTTGTAATAACTTTTCCATCTTTTCTTGTTTCTTCTTTTCCGCTTTTCTTATGGATGAAACTACTTGTTTAAATTCATGAGATAATATATCCTTGAAATATTGTTCTGTTTCCATAGTTGGTTTTAATGTTGAATATGGGGAATAATAAAGTTCAGTTTTGATGAATATATTATTCTCTCTTAATTTTTGTTTCTTGAGTTGTAATTGTTTATGATTTTCTTCAATTTGTTTACGTTTCTGGGCATAGGTTATGAAATCAAAGGATTTGGATTCAATCGGGGTGGAGAATGGTTGTTCTTCAATAGGAGCCACTGTTTCAACTGTTTGTGCTGCAATTGGAGTAGGAGCTGGAAGTGTCGTAGCAGTTCCATCAATTTGTTGTCCATCTAATGGAACGTGGCTAGCAACACCTGAATCCGCAGCCTTGTCTTCCACAGATGCATCTACCTCCTTCTTTTCCTCCTTCTTTTCTTCCTCCTTCGTTTCCACTTTCTTCTCGTCCGCCTTCTCATCTACATGCTCATCTTCCTCTTCTTCCAACTCGACACCCTTAATCCCCTCAAACTCTTGCAACTCCTCTTCAAACTTCTTATGCCACTCAATCTCCTCATTCTCCGTCAAATCATGCAACGACTTCTCAATCATCCTCGATTCATCCACCAATTTCAATCTCAACTCTTTCAAATCATTAATTGTTTCCATATATTTAGGTGTTGATTGATATGTATAATCAGGTGGGAAATCAGGTAAATAATGAGGAATATATCTTCCTTTTTGATTTAATCGGGGCACAAGATTCGTAATTTCATAATGCTCATTAATGAAAAATGGTAATGATTGTTCATCTATCTCTTCTTCTTGTTCTTCTCCTGGATTTTGTAGTTGTGCAATCTGATTCAGGACTAATTTCAACGCAGGGCCATAATCTTTTGTAATCTGTTTCGAGGATATTATTTCATCATAGATCATGGTTGGTGATATCCCTTTAGTATTCATTAATAATCTAACATCTGATAATGTCGGTTTATGTCTTCTTTGAATCCGACAATATTCACCTAATTTCGAAATACATTCATTCATAAACCGAATTGATAATTCAGTTAATTGATCAAGAAATTCATGTGAATAGGATGAACCAGTTTGAGATAGTTTCGATTGAAGAATGATTGCTATTATCTTTTGGAATTGGATGTCCATGGGAGATTCATTGAATGTTGGACCCAGCAGAGCCAGCACTGGTGTTGGTGTCGGTATTATTGTATTGTTGGATGTGATGGTTGCTATATCTCTGATATAATACTCGTTGTTATTTCTATTACTATTACTGACATGTCCATTACTTGATACGATCATTTAATTATTATTCCTTTGTATATATAAAGATAAAATTCTATAATACAACAACAACTTACTTCATATTTCCGTTGAAGTATTTTTTTTTTTGTTTCACGCACTGGACCAAACACTTTCTCTCGTTCTATCGTTCTGTCCCCCGTACCAGGACTGAACAAATTAGTATGAAGAATAGAAACTAATAATTAAAACATATACATTTACATTAGAAAAGAATAAAACTAATTCCCACCCAATAAATATTCAATAGCTCCTTGGACACTACCACCAGTTCTTCTAAGTGCTTCTACATTTCTGTCAAAATCAAAAAATCCCATATCATTCAATTGTCTCAATTGACTCTCATATCTTTCTTCAGGTGGTCTATTATCAACTGGAGCAGGTGCTGCACCTGCACCCGCACCTCCAAATAATGCCATTGGATCAATTGGTGGGACACCATTTGGGAATAAACTGGCAAATGGATTAGCTGCTGCTGCGGCAGCGTTCGCATTGGCATTGGCATTTGGAGTAGTACTAGCAGTGGTGTTTTCAGTATTTGCATCACCACCAGTAGCAGTAGGGTTTGCTCCAGGAGCAGGGAATGCAGCTCCAGCACCTCCAGCACCTCCAGCACCACCAAATCCTCCAAATCCACTAGCTCTTGACATTTCCAACATACTTTGCATCATTTGTGGATTGGTTAACATCTGCCTAAAGAATGGACTTTGTAACATTTCTCTAGCTTGTGGACCCATGGCTCTTAATTGAGGGTTTTGTTGAATCATAAAATCCAACATTTGGGGATTGGATAACATGGCATTCATTTGTTCCAAAAACACGGGATTTGACATCATAGAAGATAATTGTTCTGGATCGGGTGGCGCAAATCCGGTATTCATTCCTCCATCAGGGCCAAACATTGATGCATTGGGGAGTTGGGCATATCCGGCATAACGAGCTCCTGTTAAGTCTGCCAATGGGTTGAATGATCCTTGTCCCGAGGCAATATTGTGTGGAACTTGTGGAGAATTGGCAGCAGCAGCTCCTGGTTGAGCGGCGGATGTAGTGTTAGCAGTGGAGGCAGATGATTGGGAAGGTGGTGCTGCACTCTTGACTAGATGTATTGTGTGACCGTTTTGTACTTTGTATGAACTGACAGTTTCATTATCTTTTAATACTTTTCCTGAATAAATTAATCGTTGTCTTGAAGCTGGAATATCCGGAGCTTGTTGAGCAATTAATTCTTTTAATTCTAAGACTGTAATTGAAGGATCAAATGTAACTTCATATTTCTTGTCTCCTGTAGACTTGATTGTGATGGTGATTGTATCTGACATGGTTATTATGTAGTATCTATCTGTCTATCTGTCTGAGTAATGTATGTATGTGTGTAAATGACAAATCAGTTGTTGGAAAAAGTTAAACGACAACTTGGTAACAATTTATGAGAACTTTAGTGCCCCAACAATCTTTTTTTTTTCTGGTGGTGTGTGTGTTACCGTTTGAAGGGAACATCAAAGAACAATTTATAAATTTTTTAATACGGGGAATCAGATCAAGCCAGTCTCAGATCAGACTCAGTTCCGTCCATTTGACCTAATAATCATACTTAAGTGTTTAATAGTTAATAAGCTTTATTAAAATTATACAAAATAAAATACAAAAAATACTTTTTTTAAATCTTTACATAGAAAATCTATTAAATAGAAAAGTTACAACATAAAACAGTGTCCGTCCCACCAAAACCCAAAAATTATAAATTAATACCAAAAATAAACCAGAAATAAATATCATTCATTAACCTTCCCTTCCCTTCCCTTCCCTACTCTCTCCGTATGTAAACTTAAAGATCAACTCTCCATACTTCAGTAAAAAAAGATGAAGAATCTCACTTCTTAACCTCAACTCTCCATCCACATTCTAAACAACTATATCCATCAATTCCATCTCCAAATTGTACCATTCCTTTACTTTGCATCAATGCCCATTCACCTTTTGCTGGAATCTTCTTACATTGAGAATTCAAACAACGAGCAGACGTCTTCTTATATCTCAACCCACAAGAATTACATAATTGTCCTTCCTTAATTGACCATGATGGTCTCCAGCATGGTGATTGGTCAGATCCACATGAAATACATACTCTTGGGGTATTGTGATGATGATGGTGGTAGTGATGTTGTTGGTGTTTTGAAGATGGGGATTTTAAAATGTCTGACTTTGGCTTGGCTGATGGAGAGGATGATGGTGGAGTTAATGGAACCATCTTGTGTTGTTGTTGTTGTTGTTGGGTCATCATTGTTGTTTTGATTGAAGAAATTGGTGGGAGACTGGTGGCGGTGGTAGGGGTTGGATAGTATGAAGTTGGTTGTGTTACATAGCTTGAAATCACTGGAGATGTTGCAAGGTTATAACTATTATATTCCCCGTATGCATGTGGTTGAACGGTAGTAGCAGTAGTAGCAAAATCTATTGGGGATAATTGTGGAAGTTGCTGTTGTTGTTGGGTTTTTGGAACGGTTCTATTTATAGTACGTGGGGTTGGTAATGGTGTCTCAACAGTTTTGATATTAGATTCGGTTGGAGATGAAGATATCAGTTGTTCTGGACGACGAGATAATTGAATCAATGATTGTGCTAATTCTAAATATTCAGGATACATCTTAACATCATTTAAATAAGTTTGATTCAAATAAGTATAATTTGATTCATATGGGAAATTGATTTTTCGTTCATCATAATTCATCTTAGGTAATAATGTTGTCTTGTTGTTTATAAGCTTTGAACTTATCCTTGAATCAAAGTTTGGTTTACTTGGAGATGTGATTGAAGTCGTCGCACTAGTATTTGTAGTGACAACTGAACTATCCCTTGTGGCTGATGATGTGACTGTGGATGATGTAGATGCTGCACGAGTTGCATACTTATTAAGATAATTATATTGATTAATATTAAATGCTCGAGATTCTTTAGTTATCTTATCCAACAATTCATATCTCCAATTTTCATCATTTGGTTTATAGGTATCAAAATAATCCAATGAAACAGTTGGGGTGATTGGTTTCAACTTAATTGGAGCTCTGGGGGTGATTGGTGCGGAATTTAATGCGGCTGCAATACTAGGTAATCGAATCTTTTCTTCCTCTTCTTGCTCTTGTTCTTGCTCGGGTGCTTTGGTCTCCAATGGTGGTGGTGCTGAGATAATGACTGGAGATGACTTTGGAGAATTTGATGGTGATAATGGGTTAACGAATCGTTTACCTGGAGATAGAGACCTAGATCTGGCAGATCCGGGATTTGCCGCAAGGGTGTTATTATGTTGATCAAACAGCAGCAATCTTGTCGGATGAAGTTCAGGTAATGGAGATTGTGAATTATTCGTGGTGGTTGCACAAGTAACGTTGAATGATTCGTACGGCGGAGAAGGTGGAGCAGTTCTAGATCTTTTTCTGGGGGTTGATGATAAATCATCACTATAAGATCTCTTATTTATATGTCTTGTAACTACCGATTTCCTTGCTTCTTGAAGCAACTCGGTATAACTATGAGATCTCATATGATGATTAGGATTATCAATATTATTCAAACGGTCATTCATGATTGGCGTATGTATTAAACTCATTGTCTTTTTGATCTCGGTTTTCTTGTTGATAATAATAATGGGTTAATTAATTGTATTGTATTGTTTTGTAAAAGTTATCCACTTGGCTGCGAAACACAATATAACGACAAATAAAACCTGTAAAGAGTCGATCTTTATCTGTTTTTGGAAATGTAATTAAAGTCTTCGGAAAATATTGACTTTGATCTGAACGTTGTTACAACAACCAAAAAATTTAGTTTTTCCTTTTTTAATAAAAATTTTAAAGGAGTTTTTTAGAAAAAAGGGGGGATTTTTTTTTTTCCTTTGAATTGTTTAAACTGAAATTTCTCTAAATCTGAAATTGAAATATAAATCCTCCTTGAAATCTCGAGGAACAATGAGATATTTATTTCAGTTAAGGGTTTTTCCTATTTGGAATGATTTAAGAACGAATGCAGTAGTCTTTGTAGTAGTAGTAATAGTAGTAAGTAGTGGGAAAATTCAGTATAATAGATCTGCGAATGGAGGGGATAGCAAAGAATCTATTTTAAGAACTTTTTATATTTGAACGAATGGCTGTTGTCCTCTTTGTTTTTTCCTTTCTTATTGTTAAGGGGCAGTTTTTTTAGGGGGTAGTTATGTGCGAGTGTGACCACTTTTTTAGTGAAATTTTTGATCGATTTAAGAAATTAAACTAACTGAATTTAAAATTTTTAATAGTAAAATACCAAAGGGAATTTGGTTATATATTTATATAATGGTTTAATCATTAATTATATTCAAAACGATAATTTGATTTTAGAACTGTAAAATAATACTTGCAAGTAAATTTTCTTTTTTTAATCTTGTGTGTAATTATTATTATTTTTTTTTTAGTTCAATGATTTAATTATAGATCCTTCTCGAGGTACAATAAGAAGGATTTGCAAAGAGCTGGATTAATTAGAGAATATAACATGAAACGGACTTTGAACTTTCTGAATAAAGAGTATCTAACGCTATTCTTGATATATTTCTTTCCCAATTTGGTCAATGTAACCAGCATAAATCAACCTCAGTTTTTTTTCGATCTCATTTTTTTTCACTCCGGGATTGTTTTTTTTCTTCTTCTTCTGTCAATTTTTAAGCCAGCAAATCAGTTTATTTTTCCCCCTAGGATTTTCCGAAATGCAATATTTAACATAAATTGTAATGACGACAACTGGTCTAATGAGGTACAACAAAATGTATTGGACAAAAAAAGATATTGAAAATAAGGTTTTATGCAATAGCAATTTAATGAAGGGATACAAATCTCAATCAGTTGGTTATGGGGGAGAATTTCAAATAAAATAAATTCCTAATTCTCAATTCGTCTTCTTTCTCCCTTTACCCCCTTTCCCTAAAAAAGTTTTTGGTTAGTTTTTGGCAGTCATCTATTTTTACGAGAAATATTTTTTTTTGGTCAATTTAGATTTTTTTAATCTTTATTTTAAGCTTTTTTCAAGAACAAAAAAATAAATGGCTGGTTTTTCGATAAAAAATAAAGTTGCATAAATACAACCAGAAAAAAAAGAATTGATTGAGATCAAAGTTTGACAAGAAACTTTCTCGATGTGATTCGATTGTTAATTATGCCTAGAAGATCTTTCTTTGATTTATAGTTTCTGGCTTAAGTAATTCTTGATTGTTAATTGTCCACGCTGCCACGAAATCAAAATGATTTTGTGATCAGTTGATCTTTGGTGGTACCTCGGACTTATTGCGTTGCTTGCTCATCAAGGGGAAAATGATCTGACATTCATTGTTTTTGCAAGTTTAATTTTTTCACCCATTGTGTGTATTACAATCCCTAAAACGGATACCATCAATTTCAAATTGTAAATCAAGGGGAGAAACAATCCTAATTTTTGAGCGTTGTGGTTAGAATATTGCAACACATGGTGACTTTAAGTTTTTGCAACGCCAGTGTTGTTGTGAGCCTTGGCATTAATTCTCCCAATCTAGGCTAATCGGTGGTTAAAGTTTCTGGCCTTTTACCAAATCTAGTCTAACTCCAAGTCGCAAAATTAGCTCTCCTTCTCCTCAGTTTGTTTTACAATGAAATGGTTAGAACGAATTTCAGTGCAACAAATATAATATTGAATCTGGAATTGATGACCTATTCCTCGCTCAAGCGTTTTGCCAAAGACGTTTACGAACTAAGCCAATGCTTTCCATGATGACAATGAAACGTCGGAGATTTAACTCCAATTAAAATCAGGGTATTTTGTTATCTTATCTATTAGAGTTTCTATACAGCAAAACAAAGAAGATTATTTTGTAGATTCTAATTAGGAATTCATCCTCTAACTCCAGTCAAACTAATTATGATTGCTTTCGAAGTACGTCGCAAGCTCATACAGCAATTTTCCTTTTGAAATGCTTCTTCCCTGAAATTCCTCTTCGCTTCCTTCGATAGCCGAAGAATCTGGAACTTGATATCATCCATTCATAGTTTCATATTGTATGGATCAAAATTTATGGAAAAGAAATCTTCTTCATCAACCGCCATATTCTCAAAATCAATTTTACAAGAAGAGTCCAGGTCCAGCTCATAGACGTCACTCTGTGGTAGTCTTGCAAGTGCAATATCGTCCCAATGATAAGTTTCGAATGGGATTTCTATGAGTGCCTCTTGTTTCTCTTCTATGCTGCTACTATCTCCAAACTGTTCCTGAATTGGAACACGGGAAGTCTCCACGGTAGGCTCATATTTCTTGTATCTACCTCTGTATGTATTTCTGGTTGGGTGGGATCCTCTTGGGACATAGGCGGGTCCTTGTGCACTCTTTGGGGAATTGCCAGCATTTCTAATGGAAGAAGAAGTCCCATGTCCAATTGATGGAGCGGAAACAAAGTCGCGAGTTGAAGGAAAAGCCCCAAGTCTTGTGTATGAGGAAGAATAATGTTCTCCTATTGAATTTCTGGAATTTATGGGTCTTTTTCCCGTTGGAACGTATCGATCCCGGCGGCGTCTTGTTGGTACATATGATCTGTGGAGTCTTTCCCTTTGTCTTTGCTCTTGTCTTTGTCTTTTTCTTGTTATCCTTCGTCTTTGAGAACGACCCAAGCGCCTCCATTCATCTTCCGGGTATCTAAACATTACTATGGAGATATTCAATTAATAGGTCAGTTTGGATAATATGCCAACAATTTTAACTCATAATTTGTTTTTTTGCAGCTTCTTTTTTATCCCATAATTAAATGAAAGGATTGTTTACTTTTTACATTCTAAATATTTTCAACCAAATTCAGAATAATGAAATCATGTGGTCTGTTTGAGCTCCCCAAATACCTTTGCGAAGCTAGTATGGTTCCATATTCTCTCTGCAACCAATAAGATTCGTTGGTCAGGGAAATGGGTTGCAAAATTAGGTAGTCACCAAATACAGAATACTCCTCCATCAATCAAAATGATCAATTGTGAGCCATAGAATGGATATCGGAGTTGAGGTCATAGTCTATATAAGCAAAATTGAAGCTAGTTTGTAAGACTTTGCGAAGTGACCACCGAAAGTTTGATCCTTTCTCTGGATTTTGCAACTACAAAGTGCTGCTTACTTTAATCAATAGATTGGAAGATTCGGAAACAATTTCTCTATACCATTTATGTAGAGCCCTGTACTTGACAATTGAAGAAACGCGATGAGTCTGAGTCTCACAGTACCGGGTTCGTCGAAACGGGAATATTCAGTAAATATATATTGGGAAGTTGATTGTACATAATAGGCAACTCTTAGTAAAAAGGATAAGTCTCAAATGGAACAGCTAATACGACATGACCACACAAACATCTAGGCTGTTTGAACATTCTTTCTAATATAAACAATCCTTCTGGAGCTCTACACTTTAGTTGAGCAAAACAAATCTAGGCTGATCTTGGATGCTCAGGGTGCTACCTGCTGCTCCAGAGTGAAAAAAAAAAATTCTTAAACAAAACATCAAATTCCAATTGAACATTTGATTCTTCATCCTACCAGAAATCATCATAATGAACCAACAAGATCCAAGTAAGTAATCAAAAGCAGAAAATCATAGCAAAATATTCCATCCAGCTGATAAGCAAAACACTAACAAATATTTCAACAGCTCAAAATATAGAACCATTTCTAAAGAAGTTTTTAACATCATTAGATGCGCCATACATTTCACCAACTCAATCATTTCCAAATGTTGAAGCATATGCAATTCAATTTGGATCCAATTTAAAGAGAACATGTGCAATTATAATAAATGGTCAACCAATAATTGCAACTCCACATGAAGATGCTAAATTACAATTTCAAAAAAAATGGTTAGCAACTCCATTATCTCAGCATCAATTAACTAGTTTTGATTGTCATTTGGTTCCTGGAACTGGGAATATGGTTATCACATTCAGTGCAAAAGTTAGATTCGATCAAAGTGGTAGAAATAGATTAGGGGAGTCTGCAGATTTAGTACACGATAATGTGGGTGTAACAAGAAGTACCTCAAGTCGAGCAGTATGGGGCTCATGGTTTGGTCTTAATGCCACTATTATCGTTGATGAATTAGTAATAAATAGTTCAGAGGGTGAAATTATCAATAGTTTAAATTATAGATTTACTTATATACCAGAGGATACTATATTGAAAATATAAAAAAAATCCTTTAAGCTAAATTTCAAAATTCTGGATATATTCATTTAAAATTATTCCCAAGTATTTCAGGGAATATGTTACTGGTACTGTAACATTAGTTGTATATTTTAATTCATTCAATGCCCATAATATATTTGGTGTAATAAAATTGTAAAAAACCAAATCGATATCAGTATCCTCTTCAGTCTTAAGTACTTGAACACTTTCAACCACATTCGGTATTGGATAGTTTACAACCGCTCTATGAACTGTATCATCTCCATCCTGTCCAAAATCATCATGAGTTACGTAACCCTTCGATAATCGCTCGTCTACTTCCATATCAAATGGAATCTGATCTCGTTTCTGTTGTAATTTCATAGAATTAAAGTAATGATGAGGTGGGAGTAATCTCCTATTGTCGATTTGCAGCGGCTTCTCTGGTCCTTCACCTTGGACGATATATCCATCATCATTAAGAATCTTAGCTACTCTTGATCCAATAGATTTTGGAACTGTAAGTTTAACCCATAAATTTTCAAAAGGAGATACAATATATTGTGAATCAATGGTATACGGCCCCTTGTATAAATCGTATCTGATTGATCCAGTATTGATAATAACTATACGCTCCTCTTCCAGTTGAACATCCTTATCTGGTTCTAAAGTGTGAAGTATCTTGCTTGTCAAAAGGTTAAAGATATTGCTTGGGTGATCGAGTGGGACATAATCAACGTAATAGTTGCTATGTCTGACATGCCCAATAGCGCTATTCAATTGTAATTCGTCTCTAGTATCGACGATATATTGGGATAATGAAACACCATTCTTTGTATGAAATTCATCTTCTGTCTTGTCAGTATGATGTAAAAATGAATGCAAATTGAAATCGATATATGATCTAGAAAATCTATCTCTAACTTCTAAGCCTTGTTTATCTTGTATATTAATACTTGTCCATCCAACGGTTTCACAATATCTACCACTTTGTAATCCAGTAGATAACTTATCAATTACAACAAAATCTCTAATGTGACTATGTCCTCCAAAATATTGAATGACCGTATTTGGATAGTATTCCCTTAAGGCTGAATGTAAAATATGAAACTCGGGCCATTCACGAGTTATTGGAGTATGACCAGCAATAACAATCAAATCAACTTTATCCTTGTATGTTTCCAAAACCTCTTTGAACCATGCTTGCTTTATTGCCCTAGCAATAGGTGTAACTCTAGTCCCATTATTAAATCTATCAAAATTAAACAAAAATCCAAATGCTAAAGTCCTAATACCTTGAATTGGAGTTCTAAAATATCTATACTTCTTTCCAAATGGAACAAACGTTCCATTCTCCAATCCAAATTCAACATTTGAACTTATATAATTATCAGGAAAATGTCCAGCTACAAGTTCAAATTCTTGTTTTGAATTCTCCCAAACATATAATTCATGATTTCCAATAGTAACAATATCATAATCTTGTTTAATAAAAATTGGAGTCGAGATTATTCCATTTGGTTTAGTAATATCAGAAAGTCCATTGCCATCATGACGATCGCCACTATCAACTAATAAAAAGTCTTGACCCTGTTGGTGTGCCTTGCGTCTCATATGAGTTACAAATGATATAAAATTACCCCAATCCCCATTATATTGTTTTTGATTTAAATGACCCGAGTACCACCCGTGGGTATCGGTAGTGTGGAGAAAGTTGATGTCATTCCATGTAAGATTGCGGATCTGGGACAGATCAAATTTTGATGGTTTCAAAGAAGAGATGACATTATTATGGAGACGTATAAGATGGATAAATCCAACAATGATGAAGACAGGTAATAATAACTTGATCGATAGCATATCGGTGATAAAGAAAGAGAGGGGTTGTCAATCGAAATCAAAGAACGCGCCTCGATTTTTATCTTATCAGAGAGAAAACCTTAATACTGGCGCTTCCAAATGGGTTGTGATGATCCACCAAAAATTTTCAAATTGCAAAAATGCTATTCATATTAAATGTACAAGTTCTTTTTCTATTAAAGTCTATTCTAAAACATTAATTAACTTATAAACCTTGTTGAGCTCTTCTTCTGTCTCTTTCTTCAGAGATAGATAACTTAATACCCTTACCCTTTGGTAAAGAAACGTATGGCTTACCAGCTTCAGTACCAATAACGAAAACGTTAGATAATCTGGTAACGAAAGTGTTTTCAAGAGAATCCTTAATGTGAACTAAATCGAAACCACCTTCATGCTTTTCTCTGTGGACAATAACACCAACTCTACCCAAATTTCTACCACCAGTAACCATAACTAATCTACCAGTGTCGAATTTGATGAAATCGGTGATCTTACCAGTGGCTAAATCAATCTTAACGGTATCGTTAGTCTTGATCAATGGATCTGGGTATCTCAAGGTTCTACCATCGTGGGTAACAACATATGGAACACCTCTCTTACCTAATTGAACCTTCTTAACTTTACCTAATTTGTAAGAAGCTTCTTCAGCAGAGATTCTGTGGACAGCGAATCTACCTTTAACATCATAGATTAATCTGAAATGTTCATTGGTAGCTTCTAAAGTGATAACATCCATGAAACCAGCTGGGTAGGTAGAGTCAGTTCTGACCTTACCATCAACCTTAACGTGTTGTTGCATCAAGATAGCCTTGACTTCTCTACCGTTTAAGGCATACTTAAGTCTGTTTCTTAAGAAAACAACCAATGGTAAGGATTCTCTCAATTTGTGTGGACCAGCGGATGGTCTTGGGGCATAAGCACCGGACAATTTGTCCAACATCCAGTGGGATGGGGCTGCTAATCTCTTCAAATGCTTCTTTGGTCCTCTAGCCATTTTTGATTACTATGGTGTATAATATGAAAAGAGTGTTTTTGTTAGAGGGAATTTTTTTTCAACCATTTTTTTGATGTATGGTGCACTATACAAACCTGCGCAGAGGTGGGACACAAGGAAAAAAAGAAATAATTTGCAACAATTTTTAGGGTTGGTGCCCTGAGATCTGAAATTTCCACGTGACATGTGCTCCTGTGATAAAAATTTGGTTGCAAAAATGGCTTTCTCTTTGTGATGTAGGAAGTCATTAATTCTAGAGTGTTTCTTAAGGTATTACCCATTGCTACACAGCAATAACAGTACAAGATTGCCAAGACTATGTGTATATACGTTAGCTTGGCTAACAGCTTTACCTTGGTCCATAAGCCATTCTTTCATATGGGAGGTTAGCTTTGTTTCCAACTCTTCAAGTTTGAAGCTAATTTAGTCCAATTACTGATACTGCTTCAATTCTAAGCTAAACGCTAAGTTTACTGAAGGAGAGAACATATCAATCTGTTCTCTCTCAAAATTTTCACTCTCACGAATTGCAAGAATCAATACAGCACAATCAGAAATTAATGCAACATTATCCCTTCTCTTGTTCTACCAAGACCGGTTTTCAAACATATTTTAGAGAAATAAATGTCGTTCTTTTCTTATTTTTATATCTATTTCTTTTTTTACATTTTCTTCGCTTATGATTATATTTTTATGTCGCATTTCTTATTTATTACTGCAAAAAAAAATTGCTGCAAAATCTGCAAAATACCCTAATGACGGAAATATGCATCATTCGGACTTAATCAGAATGTATCTACAAAAAATCTACAAGTTGTTCTGGGTCGGTCCGACCTCCTGTTAAGAGAGGTGTTTTTGTAGAAATGGTAAGATTGAACAGCAGCTTTCTAAATTCCGACACTTGCGTCACTTGGGTCCGATTCTTGCGTAATTCCGTTACGTTTTTTGCGAACAACTAAACGTTGGAGGTTGCAAAACAACGACTACTTCACCATGGAATGAGTAATGGATAAAGTTTTACCTACAATGTATTAATGAACGCCTTCAATTGCTGCAATTCAAATGCCTGAGTGGATTTCCCGTTTAAGAGAGTTTAGAAGAGATAGCGATATGCTAGGTAAACAAATAATAAATAATAAACCATAAATTTACTATATCAAATTGCCTATATAAAACTCTATCTAGTCTCTTTGTACCTTCTTGCTTAGTCCTATTGTACTTTCTTACCCCATCTTGAAAACCAATTAGAAGAATTCTTACTATATTTCTTTAATTCTTCATCCAATTTAATTTCTTCATCTAATAAATTATTCAATTCATCTTCTAAATTGGCAGATTTTTCCGCTTCTTCAGCATTAATTTTTAATAATTCTATAATATTATTTTCAATTGCACTAGGCAAATTCAATGCAGTACCTCCCGGTGTCAGAGATTCATTATTTGATGATGAAACTGCTGAAGCTGCCGATGATGAAGTATCAACCATTTTTGATTCCAATTCCGCAATATCTTGATTCAATTGTTCAATAGATATTTTTAAATCTTCATTATCATTTAAGATGTCAGGTAGACTAATTTTTATATCAACCATAGTTTGAACAATATCTACATGATCATGATTTAGATTATTAAATTGAATTTCTAATTGTTTGATCTTGTTACGTAAGTTGCCATTTTCAATTTTCATTTGTTTTATATCTTCTAATTTAGATTTTTCATTTATGTAGATTCCTTCAAATTCATTTTCATATTTTGTTAAATCGATTGGATCAACATTGATTTTCATTGAATCAGAAACTAATGAATCTAATTTATAATAATTCAATGAAGAAGTTGGAATGACATTTGAAGAATTATTAGTCTTACGGGATGATGATGATGAAGGTAATAATGAAAATCGCTTGGAATTCTTGGTTGGTGTGGTGGTGTTTGAAGAATCATCTTTAAAATTAATAAATTCTTCACTAATATAAATATTAAATAAATTATCTTTTAAAAATTCCAATAATTTATCAAATGAAAGTGCTAGTAAGTTGCTTTCATTCTTTAACATTAAATTCACCGCGAATTTCAATACTGCTTCCATCCCCTGTGTCACAATAATATCATAAATCCTCAAAACAATATCAAGGGGGAATTTATAAGCAAAAAATGTCAAAAACCATTGTGAAGCATACATTGAAGATTTAATTCCTTGTTTCACTAAATGATTATATAATACCGGAGCATAACTTTCTAATAATCTATCAAATTCATACAACATCAAATGTAACCCCTTCATTTCTGGTATAAATAAATCCCGTAATTTATATTCTTTCATTAATGTAACCAACAAGCAAAAACATTCAGCTTCACTCATATTCATAATCAATGGAATGGCAATAAATATCATTCCTTGAGTATATCCAACCTCGGGATCAAATAATGAATATGCTTTAATCACATTATATAATTCCGTCCCTTTATTAACCGCTTCAACATTGGTAAAGAAAGAAGTTCTTGATAAATCTCTCTTGATCCCCTTGTCATGAATTGAAACTTCATTTTTAAGATCAAGATATAATTCTTCCAATTGGAAATTTTTGGATTTTGAAACTAATTGCCAAATAATTCCTCTAATTTCTTTAGGAATTCCTGACATAATTAATTCATGTAATTTATTTGATTCATGATTAATGACATAATTATAATCATTAACAACTTTTGTCCAAAATTCCCAATCTATTTTATATTCTTCAAATGCTCCAACTGTGGCTTTAATATCATTAAAAGTTCTTTTAATATTTTCAGTGCCAGTATTAATTGATTCTTTAACCTCGGTGTTTTTCTGGTTGAATTTATGATTTAATTGATTATATTTTGATTGCAAAAGAAAATTAGTTGAAGATTTATCATAAGTTTTCAGAATGGTATTTAATTGTTCAATTGATTGTTCAGTGATTGTATACTTTTGGGGTGAACCTGGTTCATCTAATCGAATACAAACTTCAATTGATTTACGATTTGGTAATGGTGGAGCCTTATCATTGGATTCTTCTTCTTGGTGTTGGTCTTCTCCATTTTGTTGTTCTTGTTGCTCTTCATCTTGTTTGGGTGATTCTTCAATCTTTTCTGTTTGGTCGCTCAGTTGATCTTGTTCATTGTGTTCCTCGGTGGGTTTATCTTGTTCCACTTGTTCCTGTTCTTCTTCTTCTTGTTGGTTATGTTCTTCTTGTTGGTGTTCTTCTTGTTGGTCATGATCTTCTGTTGCATCAACAAATTCATCAGATGACATATTGGTGGTAGTAATACTTTCACTCATATAACTCTTCTTCAACAATTGACTGATAAGAAATGACATCAAGAAGAAGAAGTAGTAAAAAGAGAGAGTAGTGTATTTGTGGTTAAAACTGGTTGGTGGTAGTGTGTGCAATAGGGAAGGGGTAAAGTGGGAGTACAAAAATAAACACGTCAAATAATAATTTATTATTTTCTTACTAAACAATTAAAGAACAATGGGAAAATTTAAGAAAAGACACGACAAATATAAAAATAAATAAAATCATGTGACATAGACGTGTCATTACCAATTGTACATACATGTTCCAGAACATGTTCTATTTTTATCCAATACACTTATCAATGTTACATTTCATTACAATCCATAATTTATGAAAGTAATTATATTCAATTTGTACAAGAAAAACATAAAACATCATTTACCATATATAATATACTAACTATTATAATATATAATCTTATAACAATAATATTAAATCCCAATAACATAAACCAAAATCCTTTCTCTTTATCTTTATCTCTTTCTCATCTCATTCTCTCATTAATAACTTGCACTAATCCAATAATATTCATCATATTCATCAAAACTACTAACACCACCATTAGCAACTTGTTGTTGTTGCGTCTCTATCTCTTGTTGTGGTTCCGGGAATCTAAAATTCATATTCTCAGGCATCATAATATCTTGAGGACGAATAATATCACTATCTGATAATGGAGAAAAATAATTCCCTCCACTTGAAGATGATAAGATATCTTCATCAAATTCAGTTACTGAAGACATAGATGAAGAATTATCACATGATGATGCTCTACCGGATTCAGCAGGCAGGTAATAATATGAACTTAAAATATCTCCAGAATCAACTGTATTCATAGTTGATGATGCCGTCATAGCGGGGGCCCCGGTTTCTTCAATCACTTCACTTGTTGCAACTACAGCAGGAACAACCTCTTCTCCTTCTAACTCAGACACATCTTCAAAAATAATCCCACCAACAATACTCTTCTCCTGACACAACTTCTCTAATCTTTCTTTATCACAATTGGGGAAATATACTCTCAATACATTCTTATCGGCAATATATTTAATCGGTAATTCCCCTAATTCAAATAAATTCAAAATATCTTGCCTTAATTCCCCCAATTTCTTTTCAAATGTTTTTATATTATACATCATTTCTTCCAATATTTCATCAGAAAGTATGGTTTCATTAGGGATTGAGAATTGAAACCCAATGGGGAAATCAATATATGAACCAATATTCATTTGATTACATTCTTGACGTTCTTGAATCGTGGCGGTGGAATCGGTTTTTGCGAGTTTTAACGTAACTTGATGATGTTTTGGTGTGAGGGAAAGATTTAATCTAATATTAGGATTAAACCTCTGTGTTTGTTGCTTTTGTTGTTGCTGTTGTTGTTGTTGTTGTTGTTGGAAGACAAATTGATATCTTGGATATGCTTGAACCCTCTCCCGTAAATTATTAAAAATAGTCCTATAAATAAATTTCACATTTGTTGTAGTTTGATAAATCTTAGATCTATAACTATTTTGATAAGCTTGACTAAAATTATGAAACATATATCCATGATGATTTAATCTCCGTAATATCCTCAGTCCATGTCTATGATAACCACTCTTGGTATTAAAAAAATGTTGGAATACTTTATATTTCCAAAACCATCGATTTGAAGTAAACTGATGATTTAAGCGATGATATGTCCAATTCGTACCTCCAGCCCCAGCACCTGCCCCATTTGCTGCTGCCGCTGCTGCACCAGCTGCAAACCCACTGAAATATCTAACACATTGTGGTCCACCAATACCTAATACCATAAACCTATAATGACCATACATCCGTCCCGGATTCCCAAACCCCCTATTACTGTTTCCAACCGGAATAGGCACAGGCACAGCCTCTCTGTGATGACGTTGATGATGACGACGGTGTTCATTAGCAACAGCCTCACTGACTTCTTCTAATGCTCTTTGTAATTTCCTGGAAATATTTCTTGTCTTTTGAGCAAGAAGATTACGTAGTCTTTGAGCTAACATATTCAAAATAAGCTTACGACAAATGCCCCTTTGGGAGTGTGAAGCGATGCTAATCAACGTTCTAGAATGTTTTCTAAGATGGTGCTAAATACACTACTTACCCCTTGGGTTTAGTGTATTTTATATATAATCTGTTAAAAGTGTGTTATGGGATTAACACCTTTGAAGAAGAGAGAAAAGCAAAAGAAAAATGAGTCAATTTAATTCTTTTGAGTGATTTAAAAAAAGACGATTAAGTGGAGATTTTGTTTGCTGATACTCCTCCTCATAGCCCTAGAAAAGAAAGATTGTTAAAAAGACACCAGAAACGGGGCTTGTAGGTAGTGTAAAATTGTTCAAAAAGTATAGTTATTCCCGAACTATTTCCGATTTCCCAGACTTCCCCATTAGGAAGTATAGTGCAGCTACTATTAGTATTACTTCACAACACTACATTACGTCACTCTAATAATATTTATTCATTATTAAATCATTAAATTAAATTTATTACTTCTTTGTAAGATTAAACAAACATACAAAAAGCAAATCGTACTTATTAATATAGGTATACTGTATATATAGATATAATTAATACATTTTTATAAAGAAAGAAAGACAATCACTTTTTTATTTCTAATAATTATACATTCAATATTGCAGAATCATCCATAACATCATTAAACAACAAATCAAATCCTACATCTCCCGTGGGTCCATATATCCCAAGATTATCTCTCAGTAGTCCACTGCCAGTATTGCTACCCACGTGGTTTGCTTGTTGTTGTTGTTGCTGTTGTTGCATCTGTTGTTGTTGATGATGTTGTTGAAACATAACCATAATTGGCTGCGAATTATTATTAGCCAGCTTATATTTCTTTAATTTTGGTTCTTCTTGTGCAATATCGAAATATTCCGCCGAGGAACTATCCACTTCTTCTTTATATCCAATACTTGTATTCCCACTCTCAAATGAATTCAATGAAAGTATTGATGATGGGGATGTTATCGAGGAATTATCGCCAGAAGTGGTTGTTGTGTTCACACTTTGATTTCTGAATATATTGGGGGTTACAAAGTCATTATGAAGCTGTTGGGGTGTTGTGCTTGTGTCTTGCATTTGTTGTTGTTGTTGAGGTGGTGCAAATGTGAATGAATTACTGGTTGGGATATTATTTAGTATAAAATCATCAATAATCTCCTGTTTGATCCTAATTCTATCCATATTTGGTCCATTGTCAAACATTGTCGTTGTTGGTGTACTTGTTGGATTTGATTTCGATTGACGAAGGGGATATGTCACTTGGTTTCTATTATAACTATTCTGAGGACCATATTCAGGTGATGTAACTATCGATACTGGTTCTGTTGATGATGTCAATTCCAATTCCGAATAAACTTGTTCCATTTCCTTCTTTGTCATTTCATTAGTACCATCATTAGCCACTAATTTTGGACTTAAATTCACGGGAGTAGGCAATGGAGAAGCCACCAGATGATGGTTATTCCCCATCCCAACACCCAATCCACCCATCATCTCAGTCATAAGTTTTTCTCTCACCGGTCCTAACAATCCCAAATAATTCTCAAGTAATTCATCAATATCATTCACATGAGGTAACATGAAATAAATCATTTCTTCTAATTTCTTAACTCTCAGTTCAACTTCAGTTAAATGAGCTCGAGTTAATGGTGATCTTACAGTTCTTGGACTATATGAACATATCCAATTATGTTGAATACATTTTGAACATCGTGGGAATTCTTTCGAACATTTCAATTTCCGTTTTCTACATGAATCACATGCTTGTTCGATGTTGGGAGTTCGTGAATTATTATTGGTGGGTGTGGGTTTAGGGGTTGTGTCAATTGATGATGAATTGCAATTTTCATGATTGCTGCAATTGTTGGTATTGTTGTCGTGATTCATATTGGTTGTCGTAGTAGTAGTCGTAATAGTCGTGGTATTTGTACAATTGTCTAAATTGGTCATTATATATATAAATTGGGGGATTATATCTGGGGGGGTTTATTAATTAAATTGAAAAATTCTAAAACGTGGGGGAATCTAAACTGGATTTTATAAAATGTTGTAGTTTTTGAAACGAGTTAAGTATTTTTTTTCTCTAGGTTAATTTTTTAGGGGGTGGTGGAGGGGAAAAGAAAAATTTCGAAACTGAAAAATTTTTATGAATGGAATTATTGACTTCTTGTCTGTTTGTTTGTTAACAATATGTATGGGAAATTGAACAAATGAATTTGATGGGAGTTGTGTGTATAAATTCTTATGTTGCTTTACCTATTTCTTGTATTTCTTTTCTTGAGAAACGTTCTATATTCGTTTCACCTGTAAGCTGTTAAATTTGAAATATGCAAAAAATGTGAAATCTGTATTAAAAGCTAATTGAAACTTTTCGTTGTTATCTCTACCGTTTTGATTTTCAATAATTTGATTTGATTTGATAGGAAATAGTGTAATTTCTTCTTTCTTATTGATTTGTTTTGTATAAATTTAATTTATTGCCAAAATGGTAATAATTTATAAATGGCAAAGAAATTTAAAAAATTAATAAGAAATATTTTGCAATTATAAATTATAAATTGAATGAAAATGTGGTCAATATAATTATGACAGTTTTATATTTTCTTTACACTTTTGAAAAATAAATTAAAAAAATGCAACCGATATTTCTTCAAATGGTAGGGGGGTCGGGTGTTCAGGTTGCTTTTGATGTGAAGTTGATTCAAAAGGGTTGGATGGGAGGGAGTCTTAAGTATTAAGTATTAAGTAGTAGTTATTATAGTTTTTTACAAAGAGAAAAGAAGAAGAGAGGAGAGATTAAACTCCTTTCCAAACTTAAGAAGTTACAAAAATTATGAGATTACAAATTGATTGACATTTCATTCTATATTTATATTTGACAGGATCACCTGCCTTCAGATGTACTGTATATAGTTAATAGGGATGATGAACAGATCAACAATAATAATTAATTATTTTTAAAATTCTAAAACAATGGAACCAAAAAAAAACGACCAAAAGAAGCAAGCGAAACACGCCATAGAAGAAAAAAAACTTTAACCGTTATTGCCTTTTAACACACACACACACACACAATTTTAAAGTTATTATTGCAACGTCAGCATAGAGATGTCATGACCCCAAATACTCTTGGTCTATTTGTTTCTTACTAATGATAACTCTTACTAATACTACATCGTAAATACTCATCAGTAGTTCCAAAGTGAAAATTTTTTCAATCGCCTGGGAAAGTGAAACAAAATCACCGAGAATTAGTAGAAGAGGGGTAAATGAGAGGGCGGTTGCTAATATACAGTACACTACCCAATTATTTAACCTGAAGTACACAACCTGTCTAATTTGTTGAGTGAATTATATCACGAATAATTTTAACACTTAACAAGGTTTAAGGTTTTTTGCAATAGTTCCAGTTTATTACGTATGCCAATTGATCATCATGGGACCCTATCCGAAACTTTAACACTACGGAATTAAAGCCGAATATTCGAAGAGAATGGATTACTCAGCTATTCGTTCAATTCAATTTTGTGTTTATATCATACCGACATTACTAAATACCAAACGAATTCACCGGGCTCGGAGTTTTTTTTTGGGTAATTTTCCAACAAAGACATAATCGATTATCGGCAAACACATGTTTTTTTTAATGAATTACGTGTTAGTTTAACCGTTTCATATTTCCCTTATCTTTAATTGAATAATCTATAAATTGCGAGAAATGGAAATGTAACAAAAAGCAGAAGAAAAATTGTTGTATATTCAACAATCAATAGATACATCATCTGTTTATGCGGTAATTAAAATAATTTTATAAATAAATAATTTTTTATTTTTTATTAATTTTAAATTCCCTAACGGTTTTATTATTTTTCATTTCGTTACACCGCATTAATTTAAATTTAACCTTTTCAATTCTGGCATGTTCGGTATCAGATGCCGCTAAACATCTGACGGTACATCTATCCTACACTTACACATATAAATGTAAGGCACTGTGGTCCTCCCCGGGGTGGTTCCAGTTTTTCCCCGGAACATTAACCACAACAACAACACATTACGCTGCTCTCCTTTCTAATTACAACCACATGATGAAACCCGTGTCATCCTTCCCTGTTCTTTTTTGTATTGTTCGCTGCAACAATATTTTTTTTTAGCATCATTCCATCTCATTCTGGTAGTCTTGTCTTTCGCAAACGTTTCCCAAAAAGAAAAAACAAAATTTTTTGATTTGTCGGATAAACTCACACACATAATTTCAAATTTTTGCAATTTGTTTTGTGTAACAACATGGACTTACATCACCGTACGCCTTTAGTAGGTACTATTCGTAACCATCACCACCACCGCACAAGGGAGGGGTAATTAACTTACACAAAACATATTGCATATAGTTATTCCGGGTTTGAGTCTTATTTGACGAGTGTTGTCGTACGACATTAAATGTCAAAAAACCCTTGCATAAAGAGACATTTTATGTTGCAAAAGTATTCTCTCTAACGACTAATACAACATATCTACAAGTTTTGTCAATTAAAGCCAATAAATATATGTAATTCAAAGGATTACTAAGAGAAGATATCCCTAACAGGTTTAGTAAAGTTCATAATACTGAATTTAGGAAGAAGCTTTTGACATTTCTTGCGAAGAAATTACATCTGTATTATTCGTAGAATTTTTGCAAATATTGATCTGTAAAGTCTTCATGCAATTTCCTTTTTTAAAATGAACCCACAGTGTCCAACAATTATTGGAAATAATATAACAGATGCCAGATTTAGTTAGATAGACATAGAGAGGATGATTGTGTAGTAGCGGATACTCGCAATCAGCTATGGGCTCCATTTGGGGCCTTCATATTTCTCAAGTTGACACATAAATCCCATTTCTAGTGGATCTATAAACACAATGGTTGCTTAAACGAAATCCATTCATTACTAAAGACAGTATTACAACTCGGTTCAGAAGCCGGGCATAACATTCTAGTCCAACATTTCGAATGGCTTTAGATGGGGTAATACTATAACATCTAAAAATTGATCTAAACATATAACATTACGTCATCGGAGAAATTTTCTCACGTGAATGTCACGCATATATCATGCGTATATCACGTGCTTATATATTTCCATTTTTTTTTTGCAACCAATCTTTGCATTTACCACCATCAGCCATAGTTGAAATAAAGTTTGAATCAGGCTGTTATGGAGTTGATCCTGAGATGAGATACTGTTTTTCATTAACTCAAGCAAGTGAATAGTTATTTATCATGAAAGTATTACATCCATGGAGCTTTCTCCAATTTCTGACTTACTAGACTTGGACTCATCAAATCAAATGAGGAAAGAGAAATCGGATTGGATTGAAGTTTTTATTAGTTTCTGTGATCAGCAGCTGAGATTACTTCTACGACTTCCTGTCAAGACATGTTGGAGGAGACACAATCAGATACGAAGATGTATAACAAGAAAATGCCAGTATCAAAGTCGAAATTATTATGTCAAGGACTGTACGGATTTTACACAAATTAGTTCGCATACATTCCCCCCAAATGTTGGAAGACAAAGTGTGTCTTCCATAATGCAAAATGGTATAATTCGTGTTGGATGATGTCTTAGAAGTCCATCTTTTGAATAGGATATCTGACAAATTCCGAAAATGTATGATTGTAATTGAATGAATTCTGAAACCTGAGGTACAACGTTGGATATTAAAATATCCCCATTCTCCACTTATATCCGTCCACTGTATATCCAGTCCCACTACAAAATATGATCCTGTGAGATTCTAAGTAAAGGAGTTAACAATCTCCTTTTCTTCTGAGATGAACTTACCTTATGAGTTAAGCAACTATCCTAATTTGGCATATCTATTCATTGAGAAATTACAACATTTACAGGACATCCCACGAATTTCCATTACAGGTCTCAGAATTAGCGAACTTCTGGAATTCAAGATTAATGACTTTTGCGGCCCTCTTGATATATCAAGGCTCACCTCCCTTGATCTTAGGAATGTCCTGCAAGAGATAGTTCCAATGGCATCACGTTTCAAAATTCTTGGCAAGCTATACGTAAGCAACTACCCAGGAATAATGTCCGAGTTTGCTGAGGCTCTACCAGAAAACTCATTATTACACTTGACTATTCCTCTTCCAACGATTCCTTCGTTTCTTCTGGTAGCTTTCCGCCATCGTCTATTATTGAGATTTATTACTTGTAGATCCCGAGCTGAATTCATTGTTCACGCCGGGCTACACATCATAGGCGAGGAAATTATTTCATCAGTTTGAAAGACACCTTGATATATTTCCTAAAATGCAATGCGTGATATGGAGACATATTGCGTTACAAGTTACGCGGGACCTCACTGGGAATGCGATAGGATTCGCTCCTGTTGATTTTCACCCGGCTTACTTCCCTTATTAGTTTGCACCGCCCTGATAACTTCCTTTTGCTTGCTCTTTCATTAGAAATATAAATTAAAGAAAATGTAGAATTTCAAAGACGGAGCCTCAGTAAAATGATGATCATAACTTGGTTGCAAATTGAACATTTTCAATTCGGTTCCATTGCAACCTAAGAGAAATTTATTAAAATTTCCTGCATATTATCTAATTCTAGGGATAGTGAATCATATCCTTGACTATGCCCATCGGTGCAGAAGCTTCTTTCCAATCGGCATAAATCAAAACTAATTCGAAGTTATTTTATTACCCGGTTCTCTGTAATCTGACCCTGGATATGTCAGCGTTTCATTTGCTAGTTTAATAGAAGAAGATCTGTTGTAAAATATTAAAAACAAAAGTGGTCCGTTCAATGTTGAAACAAGTAAGTTTTTGAGAAATGGCGGTTTTATATATATATCATTATACAAGTAAATTATATCAGTCACACATCTTATCTTATTTAGAGTGTATTTGGTCTCGAATTTTAATATACCCTTTGTAAAAAAGTAGGAGAATTTCAAAGAGCGGATGATTATAATTTGGCTGCAAATTTTTCAATTTCGGTTCCATTTCAATCTAAAAGAAATTAATACAAAGCAGCTTGCCATACAAAGACAGCCCCTTAATTGCCAAGAGTCGGGTTCTCCATATCGTAGCCAGAGTCATGAAATTTTACGAAAGAAAAGTTCTTGTTTAAAGATATTAAAACTATAAAACTCTATAAGTCAATAAATAAATAGCAATCCATTGCTTAAATCCCCTAGCATTTTAAACCTTCCCTATCACCAATAAAGAACTATTTTCATACACGAAGAATGAATATAGTCTTTCTTCGGGTGTCAATACCCATTGCTTGAACAAGACTAAAACGGAGATGACCATTTGATTTGGGCAAAATCACTGGCTGGTCGATAATACTTAGCATAAGGTTCTTTGTGGTTCACATGCTTGATATAAACATAAGCTACTCTGTAGTTCACAGGTTTGATAATTGGTCTCTTGCAAGGTGAGAATGGATTGCAAGGGAAAATTCTTTCATTTTGGGAATTATCAGTTGGAACTTCATCGGC